CACAGTCTTGTGTGTACTTAAACCTACAGTCTAGGTAACACCTATTTTCTTTCATTTATAATTCTACATAGTACACTCAAAGCAGCTTTTCACACAAAGAGCTGTATATTTTCCACATCCATACAATTAACTTTCTATGCAGATTAGCAAATACCTGAGTTATGAAAGATCCTATTTGTTCCTCAAAAACAAACAAAAAACACTAAAACCCTTCTACCTAACATTTTTGAAGACTTATCTGATTACTAGACTCTGTTCCTTATGTAACTACTTATTAGCTTGATGTATACTTCTAGACTAAGAAAAACAGAAATTTGAGCAATAATAAAAGCTTTGTACAATAGAAAATGTATTCTTTCCCTAGTTTTCTTAATTAGCTTCCTTTGCAAATCCCCAGTGGTAGACAGAAGAGATGATTACAATTCCAGGCTGAGTGGTGACTGGAGTAACTTACTAGCCACAAGGCACTAGAGAACTGTTGTAGTCCCTATGAAGGGAGCTGATCCCTGGCTCAAACTGAGCTTGCTCACATTGACCAGTTTTCCAGAATATTAACTTTGTCTGAATGCACACAGGCAGATGATAGCAGGGAAGATAAAAGCTCCAGCCTCCTCTCTAGTGCAACACACAAGATGTAACCATCAAAGCACCTACATGGCATTAGCAGTACCAGGCTTGTTCTTGTCTTCCCAGCAGTACCTGCATACTTTATTATCTTTTACTACAGCTGGAGCACATACAAACCAATGCTTTGGAGCATTTGGAGTTTTAGGTAACTTTTGTTTAAGTCTGCAAAGCTGACAGTATCTTTAGGCCCATTCTTTGGGAGTAATCAGCATGACATCACTGACAAGGCATAGACAGCCCTTCTTCTGCAAGAGAATCAGGATCCCAAAAAGCAATACCTTCAAAATTTGTAATTGTGCTCAAGAGTTTGAAACATAGATTTACATAAAAAACTCACAGGGTGCATATGCTGAAGAAATTCTGTAGGTGAAGGTAACCCTTTCTGTGTAAGTCATAACGCACTCAAATCTTTGAGAAGTCTAATACAGAGGACACTACTGGAACCATACTCTGCTCAAAGACAAATGTGCTGATAAACAATTTATTTTTAATGGCCTTCTGCTCATGTTCTTCTACCTTAATCATTGAGAACTCAGACTGTGTATTAGAAATAGTTTTAGACAATAACCAAAAAAAAATCTGCTATTTCTAGATTATGGCTAAGTCCAATGACCAGGTCAGAGCTTTACTTTTTAAGAGATTCATGATTCCCACATAATATCAGATCTACAGATGCATCAGTATTTAAACACAATGCATAATGATGCCTGTCAAAGATCTCCTTAATTTTTTTTAACTCCTAAAAAGTGTGGAAACACACCAATTATGAATGAAGATCAATAAAGTTATTGGATAAATCTAATATACTCAAGGTTAAGAGATCTTCCTTATAGAACCTTCACAGCAATGTTACCCTACAGAATAGCCAAAATAAAATAACAACAAAATAACCAAGTTCTCCAGGTCCTCACTCTTCACTGCTGGAATATAAAACTAACTGTATGTAAAGCTTCCCTGCAGATACTAAAACTATTTGGGAAGTCTAGACACTGACAATGGATGACAACTTACACTGTGAAACTACACTTGTTTTTTAAGAATACTACAAACACCAAGGTGGTACAAACAGGTACATCCCAACAGTGAAACATGCAAATGGTATACCTGAACAAGTGGAAAAGCAGGGAAGGCCAGCTTCTGCTTACACTTTTAGACATATCTTATCAAGAGACACAGTCATTGAGGGTTCTTACACAGGAGCATCCATTTGCCGTTACTCACACATCTGTGTATAACCCAGGACTGTCACTCCTAGCACGTGACTTCTGTAGAACACGCTCACAGTGTAGCTCCTTTTACATCAACAGGATTGCTTTACAGCAAAGTACTACCCACAGCTTCGAACTGGGTCCATCCAATGCTGTCCTTCCACTACTCTTAAATACAATCCCATGTGATAAACAACTCCCAGCTCTTCTTTTTACAGGATTTATGGGTAGGAACACACACAACATTCCTTGGCTGTAATATCGCCTCTCTCATTAGATGTTTTCCAGCCAGGGGCTCTCTCATCATCTAATTTCCCTTTTTCAGGTACCCAGCTCACTGCTCCCACAACTCAAAATTCTCCAAGATGCCAATGAAAGAAATTTTTCCAGGTTAAGAGCTGCACAATAAGACTTTATGGTGTTCCAATTTAATTAAACAGAAACTGAGTCCAAGAATTACACTCAAAGTACATCTCATGCTCAAAATATTCTCATTTCAAGAAGCTTTATTAGGAAAAGAAAAAACAAGTGAGTATATGTATGCATGTGGTAAAGTCTGTAAGGGATAGACATTTGCAGGTTATTATGCTAAGTTTCAAGAATTCAGCTGAATCAAGCTAGGGATTAGTCTTTTCTATTCCCAGGAGTTCCCTGAAGAGAACAGAAGTGATTGATTTTTCCCCTGAAGTGCATGATTTAGAAAAAAACTTATCTCTCAAAACCAAGCAAAGACAGTTGTTCGATCACATCTCACCTACTGCTGCATGCCAAGGAGCAGAAGTGGGAGGGAAAAGTCACACAGGGACTGCACAAAGGGGGAAGTGTATCAATATTTAAAAGCTCTAAGCTCAACTTGGATCTTGTAAAAACTCATTTTTAGTATTAATAGATTTCAAAGGTGGAATATATTAAATATAATGCTACAGAATTTCAGTGTGAGAATCTTCGATTTTAGGCTCAGTTGAACAGAAGTCAAAATTTCTGTTAGAGGTGTAACACGAAATAAATATTACTATAGAGATCCCATACTGAAAAATTTGCAATAAAAGTACTTAAAGACACCTTAGAGTGTAAGAACTAGAGGCAATTATTAACAAAATATAAGTTTTGTACTCAAACATATATAAAATCCAATTCTACATTAAAAATGGCACTAAGAGTACTTTGGAGAAAATCCATAGACTTACTTTAGATGGAAAGCAAGAGTAATACAAAGCATTTCTAATGTACCAGTTCAGAAGCTCCACAAATTTGTACTCATGCTATAGAAAAATATAGGTTATCTGAGCTAAAGTATCTGTCACCTTCAATATTCATGAGGTATCATATGATATGATAACATTTTCTTCACTTGAAAGGCCAGTAACTATATACATCAATAACAGGTAACAGGTTTCTTTTCTTCTCATCTGACATGCCATGGTTCTCCATTCCCTTTTTTTTTTTTTTTTTTTTTTTTTCTTCCCATAGAACCATAGAAAAGTTAGAGTTGAAATAGACCTTAAAGATAATCTAACTTAAACCCCCTGCCATGGGCAGGGACACCTTCCACTTGACCAGGTTGCTTAAAGCCCCATCCAGCCCAGTCTTGAACACCTCCAGGGATAGGGAGTCCACAGCCTCTCTGGGCAACCTGTTCCAGAGTGTCACCACCCTCACAGTAAAGAATTCCTTGCTAACATCTAATCTAAACCTGCCCTCTTGCACTTAAGGCCATTCCCCCTTGTCCTGTCACTACACGCCCTTGTAAACAGTCCCTCTCCAGCTCCCTTGTAGGTCTCCTTTGGGTACTCCGCAAGGTGCTATAAGGTCTCCCCAAAGCTTTCTCTTCTCCAGGCTGAACAGCCCCAAATCTCTCCACCTGTCTTCTTAACAGAGGTGCTTCAGACCTCTGGTCAACTTAGTGGCCCTCCTCTGGACTCACTCCAAGAGGTCCATGTGTTTCTTGTGCTGGGAGCTCCAAAGCTAAACACAGCAGTCCAGGTCAGGTCTCATGAGAGCAGAGTAGAGGGGGAGAACCGTCTCCCTCAACCTGCTAGCTTGATTCTTTGGATGCAGCCCAGGATGCCTTTGGCTTTCTTAGCTGTGAGTGCACATTGCTGGGTCATATGGAGCTTTTTGTCCAAACAGCCCCAAGTCTTTTTACTCCAGGCTGCTCCCAATCCATTCTCCTTCCAGCCTGGACTTGTGCTTGAGACTGCCCCAACAAAAGTTTAGCACCTTGCACTTGGCCTTGTTGAACTTTATCAAGTTCACACAGGCCTTTCCTTCATCTTTGGAAAGCTTCCACTAGTTTTTATATTTACTGACAAATTTCCAGTATTGTTTATAGCTGGATTCTGTAATCAAAGTTTTCTACACACAAAGTTATTGGAACCACTTCGAGGCAACTGGAAAATAACACTTAGCTGGTGATAATTTTGGCACAGTAGTACTACCCTCTTGAACCAGATTTGCACATATCCAGTAACTCCTCTGATACTCCAGACAGAGACTTTGCATCTCCACCCAATCCCAATTGCTAATTCTAAATGCAAATGTCAGATGCTGTCTATTACTTTCATCTGTCCTACAAAAACCACTAATAGAAATCAGATATTGAAGTGATATCCAATACTGATATGGACATTGAAACACACAAGATGGAAAGATACCTCCTGGGAAGATTCACGTACAAATACAGGATTTTTCTATTTAGTTTTGGCATATATATGCAGAGCATGGCAACCATTTGCAGAACATTTTTGATTTTAGATCTCAAAAGCTACAAGCTCATAATGCAGGTGTGCTTAGAGCTTTTCCATGCAATACTGAAGATAGGAAAAAAAAACCACCAAGTTTTCTTCAAACATTGCTCCTATATCTACACCTTAAAACTTAACTATATTCCTGATGGCATACTGCAGATTTTTCCAGTTTGCAGCAAATTCAAACCCATGCATCTAAGAAGTTGCTCATTCAGAGATTTCGGTATGATTTGCAGAGTTTGTGACAAAAGGCTTCTGGAGTACACTTTACACAACACAACTGTGTTTTAGCATGAACTGTTTGTCTTGCTACCCCTAAGGGTAAGCAAGAGAGATTTAATGTGAAAGCCTGAAAACTTTCCATCTTGTTAGCAACACCTCCCTCTGTCAAGAATTACATCAGAATTTGCTTACTTACATCTAGTGAATCTTCATTGACCAGGATGAGAGACATACTCTGTGAAATGAGTCTGCAAGAATACCCTGCAAGAGGGAAAAAAAAGACAATAAAACACAAGGACTTACTTTTTGGAAGGCCAAGGTTCAAGTTCAACCTTAAGATAAGCATCTATAGGTCAAATGACAATTTATTTTTCGAGCAGTTACTCCTATCAGGCAGACTGCTGGAAACTTTGGTGTATAGGACACTCTCCAACACGACAGATTTACTAGAAACATGGGCTGCATTCTATCTGCATTTTCAAATACATGACTTGAGATGTTTTCATTAAAGAAAACACTGTGTGAACTGGATGCTGTAAATATAGCCTATAGCTCTACATCACTTTTTTTTTTTTTAAAGTCTACACGAAGGCAGGTTTGCCTTCAGCACATTGCAGGGACAGATCCGAATGCACAGTTACATCCGTGCCAGATGACTGGAAGCACAAACACATTTTCAGTGGGTACTACTCAGTTTCCTTAGCCCACAATAAGCTTACATGAGCATTTTTTACTCCTGAGTGTTCAGTGTGGAAGGTTCTGAGCTTCTTCATCAAGAAGTACAGATCAATCACAATCAAAGAGCCCCTACCAACTCCTACAGACACAACGTAATTGGACTACATTATTCTTAGTGTGGGACTGAGACATGAAAGAACAAGAGCACCTAGAAGGCAATTCTATACATTTCCCAGCATACCAAAATCAAAACAAAAACTCTCAAGACAGAAAAAATCTCTTATTTTTATAAAAGTTTAATCATTTACAAAATAAACAGGTTAATTCTGCTCATATTAACAACAAGAGACAAATGCAAATTTGCATCAGACTGACCCCACTACGTTATCCTAAAAGCTCATACAAGTTCACTTGGGATTGGCACAGTGATGTCAGCTTCACAAAATAGCAGAGAATTAATTTATTTGAAGCACACACCTTTTATTGCTCACCTACGCTACATGGGAAAAGGAAATTCAATACAAGTATTTTTTATTTCTGTTTTTTTTAATTAAAATGAAGTGCAGCAGTTTAAAAATTGCTATCAAATAAAATGGAGTCTTGGGAAGTCTCTTACTTTTCTTAAATGGAGACTGAAGGGTTTTGCAGTAAAGAGTAATGTCCCAGTAAAGAACCACTGCACAGCTGACAGATTCAAAAGCTGAACACCACAGTCACCACAAAAGGATGAAGTGCCTCTTTCCATATCTTACAACAGCAAGAGAACAACTGAGGCATAAAATCATCTGTGGGATTCTTGGCTCCTTAGAAAGGCCATACTGGGTCAACAATTGCAATGCAAATCATTTCCTCAGGCTACAGAGTTTTTATAATTGGGCTAGTTTTGTAGGTATAATCCAGGGTTAACATGTCTGCATGTGTGAGTGACTTCTGTAAAGAAAGTAAATCCCTCTTCTTCCTTTGAGGAAGACATGCTTGTATCATAGCCAGGCACTCTCAGGCAGCAGGTCTGATTACCTGCATAAGCTCAGTTTCTCCTTCATTTTCACAACTGTGTGGACTATGAATATCAAGTGCAACCTTACTAATACATGTTAACAAGCCTAGGTTTAATTTCTGCTTCAGAGAACAACACAGTCCAACACTGAATTCGCACCTGTTGGGAAAAGGATAAAATATATTCTAATGATGTGCAGCCTACAACATGGAAGCTTGGCAGACAGCCTCTGATTCTGCCTGCGATGAAATCTTAGATGGTAGTAGAAAACCTCCAACAGTTACAGGACAAACACTGACTTTTTCCTCAAGTCAGTTTGCCATTTTTAAAAGTTAGCTTCAAGCTAAAAAATGCTTCCTTATGTTTATTGAGAAAAAGAATATTACAAATTTAAGTACTTCCCTCCACAACAGGGTTATTCTTTCCCTAGGCTAAAGCAGTCTTGTGCAGTAGGCTGTTACAAATTCAGCATAACTAATTCAAAAGGATTTTCTAATAGCATTTGATTAGAACAGCAGCTGCAATAGTGACCTGTAATTTCTAAACCACTGCTCACTGCTTCACTTTACCTCTTCCAAAATGAGCAAGATGCCATTCTAGAAGTCAAGCTGGAAGAAAAAAAAATGCTGTGGAAAACAAGCTGGAAGGAAAAAAAAAAATGTTGTGGAAAACAGTTGCTCTGCTGTGCACCTTGGAAATCATGGACTTAGAAGAACTTATCCTGCAACTGAAGCTATTTGCATCTTGCCATCACATTAAACAGAAAGATCAAGACTGGAATAGGAGAATGTAAGCCAACCCTAACAAGGGTTTATAGGGGATCTATACATTATGTACAATTTCAGGACTAAGATGATGTTAAAATCTAGCACTACTATAAAGCAAAGTAGCTGGCAACTGTAGGACTACAAGTAGTAACTTGAAAGTATTACTAGAAATTTCTAAAGTTTCATAATAGTTTTGTAATAGTTATTACTGGCAATGCTAACATGGCAAGCAAAAATGCACTCTAAGATAAGTATTTTTGTCAATGCTTCTGAGTAAAATAAGATCAACTGCTGGTTCAAAGCCAGGTATAAAATGTCAACCCACACCTGTAAGTTGATATCTAGCACTTTAATTTAAAAGTCTGACTAAAAGTCCATGAAGCAGATGAATCAGGTACTTCTGGGACTTATTTTCCTTTAAGTGTCCTGGGAGAAAGATTACTTGAACCAGAGTTCAAGATCGTAGCCCACAGGCACACTCATACTGCAGGCATACAGAATCCATCATCTGAGGGAAGAATCATTATCCTCTGTGTTTAGAGAGGGCACAAATGCTCTGTTCAAACTTTGCATAGCGATACAGGCAAATGTGCTGGCACAGCTTGTCTCCTGAACTGAAACAAAGCACAGCTCACCAAGAAGTGTTCTTATCTCTGAGCTGGAAAGATAGGGGTCTGATGGATGTACTGTTAGATGGGTAAGGAATCCGCTGGGTAAGGAATCAGCTGGATGCCTGCATCCAGAGAGTTACAGTCAATGAGTAGTGGCTCTCAGGCCAGTCCTGAGATTGGTCCTTTGCTATGTACACCAGGGACAGACAGGGATCAAGTCCACCCTCAGCAAGCTTTGAGAGAACATGAAGCTGAATGGTGCACCTAAATAACACTAGAGAGAAGTGATGCCAGCCAGAGGGACTTGAATCCACTTGAGGAGTAGGCATGTGAAAATCTAATCAAGTTCCACAGGGCCAAGTGCAAGGTCCTGCACCTGTACTGCAACAACCATAAATATCCATCAGGACAGACTAGGGGAAGAAGAGACTGAAAACAGCCCTACTGAGAAAGCACCTAAGTGATGAAAAGTTGAATGACTCCACCTGGAATATCATATCCAACCAAGGGGCCTCCAGCACAAGACAGACATGAACCTGTTGGAGTGAGTACAGAAGAGGGCCACAAAAACAATGAGAAGGCTGTAACATCTTTCCTATTAAAACAAGCTGAGAGTTGGGGTTGTTTAACTGGGAGAAAAGATTCTGGAGAGACCAAAAATTATCTCTCTTGTAATTCAAAAGAGAATTACAACAATGACTCAAAAACTTTTTACAAAGGCCTGTAGTGTCAGGCCAAGGGCCAGTCATTTCAAACTGGAAGAGGGTAGGTTTAGACTGGACATAAGGAAGACATTTATTATGATGGGGGTAGCAAGACTGGAACAGGTTGCCTGGAGAAGTTACGGATGCTCCATCCCTGGAAGTGTTCAAGGCCAGGCTGGATGGAGCTTTAAGCATTTCAAATTTATGATTTATGAAAGATGTCCCTGTCAGGGAGGGAGCAGGAGGACTTCATCTTCAAAAGGTCCTTTTCAACCTCAAACCCAAACAACTGTAAGGCAGTGCTTGCAGGCAGCTATTAATGCACACCCTAGGCAAGAGCAGCCAGCTCAACTATAGGGGCTGATTCATGGTTTCAAGGAGAGACACAAGAGAGTTAACACTATACTCCCATTCCCAGAAAACATCTCTTCTTAGGGAAGTTATTGGCTAGAAATACAGCAGTTCTGGTGTTCTGTGAATGTGCTGAGCACCAGGATGGTAGCAAATAGAAATCTATTATGGGTGTTTTTGTCTCACTGAAAGGCAAAGATGACACAGAATCTGTAGACTGTTTGAAGAAAAGGGTGAAGCTGCAAGAACACAATTAAGCCTTCTACACTTGTTTGCAGGTCACGCCTAAAGATGCTTCTGTACCTGGAAGTCCCATTTTCAAGAGCTAGAGTTCAAATGAGTGATCAGTGTTAAAGCTTATCATGAACACTCTCCTCACTTGCAGAACTACTGACTAGCACCTGGCTGAGTGAAAGGCATACAGCCACCCCACAGAAGCTCAACCATTACTCTGCAAAGAAGTCAAGAACTCAATCCAGAGACAAAGACATATGCAAATTCTGAAAACCAAAGAATCAAGAGGAAGCTGGAAGAACAAAGTACTCCAGCTCCTTGACAGAGCTGCCAAGAGCTGAAATATCCCTCAATACACATGCACCTCCACACAGCAAGCAAGAGTCAGTAAGCATAACCTCCAAACACAATGAGAAAGTGAAAACACTTTTTACTCCCCAGATAGCATATTTATACCTGAAACATATAGTGGACACGTGGATTGGGTTTTAAGTTGAAGTTTTATTACAGTTTTATTGGATTACACACAAAAACTGGAAGAGTGCCACATGTTTATACTTTCAAGCCAACTTGAACATGAAGCTAATTAAGTTGGAGTTTTACTACCAAACTGTACCTTAAACTAAGGGATAATTTAGAAGTTTTAAGTGAGATTATTATTCTTCTCAAGTTGCTATAATAAAAGAAACAACAAACCAACAGTTTTAGAGAAAGCTGGAAGTCTCCTTCACAGTCTTCAGAATAAGCTCATTTACTGGTGTTCACATAGCTGCTGTTGGTTAACATATCAACTTATTTCAGGTACTTAGATCAAAATGTGTAGCTACATTTTTTTCATTAGTCAAAAGATGGTGTTTCCCTTCTGAAGTTATCTACTGCTTGTAAAGAAAGGAAAATCTGCAGATTGTGATTCAAACCAGATAACTACCCTTTAAACAAACTGTCTACCTAGGCCATCCACTATATTTCTATTACAGCTGTATCAGTTCAGCAAGTAATTCCACCTCTTGGTACCACCTTCAACATACAAAGAGATATGAAATTTAATTTGAAGCACACAAAAATTCTAGTCAATCAAGCAGATTGCACCATCAAATTTTGCTGAGTCAATCAAAACAGAAAAAAAGTTTAAAAAAACACAAAACAAACCAGACAAAAACCAAAAAAGCACAAATGCCCAAAACTTTCCTGAAAATAATTTAAGTTCATTTACACAGCATCATTGATAGAGAATCTTGAATGAGTTTGAGAAAGCAACCTATGTAGTTAAAAGTTCCACTTAACCTACACCTGTATACCTAAACAGACTAATCTGCAAATCTAAATGCAGTTGTGGGACCCTAACAGCATATGTTGCCCTCTTTTAAAGGAGCTATTTATTCAGTCTTTCTGAGCTCATGTTGACTTTAAGATTCCCTAATTACATGAACAATGTGACCAATTTTACATTTAGAACTGCACACAGACAGCTCTGGGTGTATTTCAGGCTATTCCTGGGAGAAGTAAAATGATCTATAACTGAACTTTCTTAGGTGAGATGTCAGATCACAAGAGTGCAACTCTGTCTCTTCCCCTCTCTGGGCAGACTTACAAATGATAGGGAGAAAAATGATCAAAAAGAACACGAGCGTCATGGCATTTTATCGCCAAAGATGGGACATTTGGGAAGTGTGGCATGACAAGGGATGTGCCTACATCAGGATATGTCCGTTTACCAAGTCTTCACTGTGTACTAATAGATGTGCTGTAAGGGGACAGCAGGGCCAGTTATTTAAGCTTGAATAATCCACCTATGTTCACAGACATGGTTTGGAAGATGCTGTGAACAATACATGCTTTGCATTATCATATTTCCCATTGTATCCCAAACTCAATTCAAAGGCAGTCAGTAAGAAAAAAAAAAAAAGCTCTAAAACCATTTCTGAAACATTAGTCTGGTAGAGTTCTCCTGGTAGAGTTACCATCAGAAAACAGAGTTACATATATTCATTCAATTAGAACTGCACCTAACCAAGAGCAGATGGGTCCCTTCTGCCTCAAAACAACAATAATTAAAAAAATAATATAGCCTGACACACACAGTGAAGACTTCACTACAAAATCCCTTCTCCAATGCTGTGCCCTGCTGCCAAGGAACCATTCTATAAGTAGCAGGCCCAATTCTATTTAAAAACCCACTCAGCACAGCTTGCATGTGACCTGCTACATACCAGACAAATTCAGAGTAACCAGAATGATGGATACCTATATTGAGAGCTGTTTCCTGTTTGTCACCTGTCAGAATCCATATCTTAATTTCTGCCTTTATTAGTGTGGCTATTGTTTCTGGAACACCTGCTTGCAGGCGGTCTTCAATGGCTGTAGCTCCAAGAAGCGGCAAATCCTGGAGGAAAAAAAAAAAAAAGAAAACACATCCTCAAGTTCTTTTAAGATAAATCTCTGTTTGGAATATAATCAAAAAAGGAATTAAGACAGCATGTTGCATCTCACTACTAATACTCTGACAAGCAATATACACCACAATAAGTTTGTAGTGTGGCTGTTCTACTTCCTCTGCATACAATTCACATTTCAAGAGGCACAGAATGGAACAGAGTGTTTTTGATCAGAAAGATGGCAACATTTCAAGAATAATTGATTGAAGTTATAAAAGTCCAAAGTTAGCCTAGAGATGAACATATATACTGGATCATTCACTAATCACCATAGCAACATGATGAGTAGTCAGTTTATATATTTAAGCTCACAAAACAAAAATTATTTGGCATCACATCATTTAAACTTATTTCCGCCTATAAAATGTACATACAGACTGGATACAATTACTCAAAGCAAAAATTATTGCAACTATTTATGGATCTAATCATTACATTTGTGTAATACAAGTGGTATGAACATTAATCAATCCGAGTATCTCTAATCAACACACAGATGTCTGCCAGAAACACATATCTCATACAGTGAATTTATTACTACAGAGTTAGCTGTATTCTCAGGCAATTCTAAAACAATTGCTTGAGGAGATTTGGCTACATTACAGTAAAAAAAAAAAAAAAAAAAATTACAATAAAAAAAAAAAAAAAAAAAAAAAAAAAAAAAAAAAAAAAAAGCTAAGAAATTAACCTTGTCAAAAAGTACAGTCTTCTCAGATTTTACCTCTAAAAGCATTTTAATGATTCCTTACATATGCAAAGATGTTCAACTTCAAACAAATTGAAATAAATTTAGGTATACTGTATCATTTCAGAAATTGCATAGAAAAAGGTAGCATATTCTGTTCTTTGCAGGGACTAAAATTATTCAACAGAAATGAAGACAAATGAACAGAAGGATTATATGCTGCTATTGCTCAGCCTGGGAATGATGAGGTTTCAGCATGATCTTACCATGACCTTTCTATATAAAAAGTGAGCTTATAGGAAAAATTAATAAAAACTGTTTACCAAGGCCAGCAGTGGCAGGACAAAGGGTGATGGTTTTAAACTGACAGAGGGTATATTTAGTCCAGGCATAAAGAAGTGATGTTTTAATGATGAGAGTGGTGAAACACTGGAATAGTTTTGCCCAAAGAAGTGGTGGACCCATCTCTGGAAGTGTTCCAGGCCAGGCTGGACTGAGATTTGGGTATCATGGTCTAGTAAAAGGTGTCCCCACCCATGGTTGGGTGCCAGGGTAAAAGGATATGATCTTGAAAGGCCCCTTCCAACCCAAACCTTTCCATGATTACATGGAGAGGGCATTAAAAGCAGCTCCCACTTGTATTAATCTAAGCACACCTAAAGAACAGAAGGGCAAATGGCTATCCACACAGTGTGTAAGCTGGCATTAGTTACAGGTCTTGACAGAGTTTCAGCTGGCAAAGGTGGCAGAATTGACTCATGCAAGTCACTAAGCTTTAGTACTCTACAGCCTCTCAATGACTTATCAGCACTGTTGATGCTAGCAACATTTGAAGGTTACAAACAAAATACCCAAGTGCACAATTAGAGATTGTCTTTTTTCCCAAAATCACTTGTTAAGAAGTTACACATAATAGCACGGGGATCAGCATGGCTGAGCTACCACTGCACCTGCTGAAGCCCTCTGAGCCAGCATACGGCTGCAGAAGGAAGTCAGTTCAAGTTTGTCTCCACATGTGCACCTGTACTGTGATCAAGCAATCTCAGCACTCAGACTGAAAAAATAGTTCTCTTGGTCTCATTTGATCCCTTATAACAAAAAAATCCAGCCTGTAAAAATACATTATATTTTGTGTAACGGCCAAACCCCAGTTTATCTCTAAGGCCTGCTTCTTGGCATGACCAGCAAGCAAACATTAACAGGAAGGCATACAGTGGATAGTTCCTAACTCCAATTCTACAACCCACTCATGGGTTCCTTTTTTCTTAAACAAGATGCTAAATTGTGAAAAAGGCAGAAAGTAGATGACCAAAAATTACCTAAAGCTTGAGAACACATTTTGAAGTACAGCAAAAGCCATGTTCATTTTTCACCTCAGTGAAAACAGAAGAGTATGAGAGCACAGAAAGAAGCAGAAAGCTGAAAGGAGCTACCCAAACCTACAGAACCAAGGATGAGAACCATACAGTTACTGACAAAAAACAACAGAAGACCATTTCAGGCATTACTTAGAAAAGGAATATTCAATCTTCAGCACTTCCTGAGAGAGTTCCTGGAGGTTCTCTTACATCCTGAAAGTTAGCTCCTACCCTAGTCTCAACCTCTTTGTGGATGCTCCATCCCTGGAAATATTCAAGGCCAGGTTAGATGGAGTGCTAGCAACCTGGCCTAGTGGAAGGTATCCCTGGCCACGGCAGGAGGATTGGAACTCAATGATTTTTACAGTCCCTTCCAAACCAGGCCTTTCCATAATTCTACAATTCGCCCCAACTAACTTAAACAAACAAGAGTGTTCTACAACCTAAGCAGTATTTTAATATTAATTTTAAAAGCTATTGAAATTCAAAACATGTTTTAAAGAAACCACTAAATAAAATTCAATACCTGGAGCAAGAGAGAAGAGCATGAACCTGTGCAGGTGAGGAGTGCAAATACCAGCACTTGGAAAGCAGCAAGACCAACAAGGCTCAGAGAAACACTGGCCCCTAGCGTTGGCATTTTAACATTTTGTTCACTGCGATTAGCGTTTCAAATAGGTTCTCTGATACCTACCTTCCCCTTCTAAAATTAAGAGCTCTGCAATTTGCATGGAGAGCAGGTTTTCATCCTTTTTTTAGCCCATGTCCCTACAGGTTTTGGTGAGCCCTACATTGTGCCTACAACAGCCTTCAAAAACCTTGAATTTGACTGCTGTATGAAAAGGAACACATCTCTTCATACCCTAGTACATGGGAACTTGGAGCAACACAACGATTTCCACATATTAGCTTTATCAAGTTACAACAACCTTACACAAAACAGGAAGATTAAAAAAATGTGAGAAAAGGGGTTTTAAGTAGAAATTATTTTTTTATCTGTAAATCCATCTCAGATTTACTGATTTAAACTGTGGAGTGAACAGGTTACCATCTAATAACACCCTTCCAGTTTCTCATCTATGAAATTAACAGTTTATTTCATTGTATAAAGCCCAAATTCCACTGGAAAATACACATGTAAGGGAATCTGCATCTGATCATCAAGAAAGTATGTTTTACCTTTTCAATAATCTCATAGCACTCCTCCAGCTTCTGAGTTCTGTCTTTCAGAACTGTACTGGATTCACTGTAGACATTCAACCACTCTCTGTAAGACTTCTCTGACAGATCAGCATAAGCAATGCACAACGTCCTCAGACCTACAAAACAGAAGACAGCCATTACCCACAATAAAATTACACTGAATATCATCAATTCATTCATATGTTATGAATGCTAAATTCTAACCCTCAAGCTGGAACAACAAAAGCTTCTAACACACACTGCTAAAAAATCTCCCTGTACATTTTTTTAAGCACTTGGATTTCCACAAATGTAAACCACAAATGTGGTTCATTTTAGCTCCTAATATGGGTGAGATCAAGAAGTATTGGACAAAAACTTTTTATTAAGTATGAAAGCAAGCTTGCCTTTCACATATTTTAAAAACATTGCATTAAAGAACAGGCTTTACTGTGATTGGTGATATTACTTAGTCAAACATGCTGCACAGCCTGTGCTTCCTTTTAGCAAGACTGTGTTCTTCTTCAGTGTACCAAGGTAACTCACACGAACAACAGGAGTTACACATGCATGATATAATGAACAGGGTCCATTAAATATGAAAACCAATTTATTAGACCACTGGCAAAAATTAACATAGAGAAGTAATGATTTCTTCTTCTGTCACAAATCAAAAAGGAGTGTGTGCCATAAAATACCAAAGTTCCAGTACTGGGAACTTTTGGGAGTCTGCAAAAAAAAAAAATTTAAAAAGATGACTGTTATTTTCAGATTTTGGAAGAAAAATACTGGTTCATGGCTTTACTATAACTCAGGTATCCTGTGCTGTCACAGAAGAGGGAACAAAGCCAGCTTCACAGCGAACAGAGGTGTCACATCAGTCAAAGGCCTTACAGACTATTTCAGATCATCTTTGATGTCTCAGTCTATCAGGCTTCCCAGCACATTCAGGTTATCCCTCTCTTCGTAAAAAGATGCTGGTATCCAACTTTTACCCTGGTAAAAAACACCTCCAACTCCAATGTAATTGAGTTATTCTAAGCAATACAATTCATGTCCTTTCCCTTCATCGTGGACACACAGAACACTGTCTTTTCCTTCCAAATTCCACTTTCCTACTGAAATCACACAGAAGTTGGACAAAAAACTCTTTACAGCTGAAGGCAACCTATAGTTGTTAATTTCGTCATAACACACCCCATCTTAATTTATCTTCACAATGATCTTAGTTGACAACACAGAGCTTAGACAATGCAGAAGATGCTGCAAATAATTTCATGAACTGAATTCTCATGGCATGCTGTTTCTCTTACCTTCCGTTGCGAAGTACTCAAGATGGCACAGTGTTTGTTCCATATACTGGGAATCTTTCGAAAGCCTCTCAAAAATTACATTATCCTATTAAAACCAAATTCATTACAACAGAGTAAGTCTACATATGAAGTTGCCATTTGTGTATTTACAAGCTCAAGAGAAGCAACCTGAATAGACTTGCTAATATCAAAAACAAAACTGTATTTACAATATATTTGGGGTTTAGAGACTGATTTGAGTAATTAATCTGGATTGTACCCAGTGGCAGAGATACTGCATCCACTACAAATAATGGGGAGAGAAGCACACTCTGCCCTCCTCCCCTCTTTCCATAAAGAGGTCCCCATTACTGGGCAGTACAGAACACTTCTCTGTAAATTACTAAGCAAATATATTGACTTTCAGATAACATAAATGTCTGATCTTATTCAGCGTATATATAGCAATCCCGTGCAGTAGAGTTTCCTGCAATCTTTTCCAGAAAAGATTCCTATTGATGTTAGAAAAACAAGGCAGAAACACTGATCATGTTCTACCACAACATCCTCTCAGAAAAACCTTTTTCCTGCAGCAGCTTTCTTTAACAGTAAATCAAAGGACAATTGACAAGGCCCCGTTAACAGCTGAAATCAAAATATAGCATCACCTACATATCTAGAGTCTCTGAATTTTATTTGTAACTACCAGAACAAGTTGTAAAAATGCATGTAATACAGAAACCCTACTCAGACATCTGCTCTTAAGCTAAGTAAGCAGACTACATCTAGAGCCAATTAGAAACAGGCATACAAATCTAATTATTATGGAAGCAACAGGACAGAGGATGACTACCAGAACGTGGAAGAGATAATGCAGAATAGTCAGTTAACTTACAGTTCACATGAGTGGCAGATGCAGCACATTAGTACATCTAGGTCTGTTCACATGGAAAACAGCAAGAATTTGCACCGCAAACTCTCCTGTTCTCCATCCCTTTCAGTGGCACACTCCAAAGAATGGTGTGAACTCAGGCATGGCATGAAGAAGCAAGTTTCAAGTCAGTGTGGTCCTATTAGGCATAGGACTGTGAACTACCACACAATGGCAGCAGGCTTCATTCACTTCCACCACACCAGAATTAAGCCAGCACATCTTTATCAAATCAGGGGAGGTAAATGGAAGCAACAGAGCAGTGAACACTGACCTATATGTCATGACAAATTCAAGCAAACCAGATCCTCACAGAGGTCAGAAAGTTTTTCCCTGTTGCAAAAAGCCAGCTCCATGGTTTTCCACTGAAATTAGAACCACTCTCTGACTGTGGACAATGCTAGTTTTGGAGCCTTTGTACTGAGCTAAGTTATTGCTCTTGTCAGTGAAGACAGAAGCACAACATGGTGCAAGTCATGATGACAAATAACAGCAGGTGCAGAGACACAGGAAAGCCAGATCAAGAGCCAACCACTTGAGAACAAATTTTAGTGTTATAAATTCAGACAACAGCATTTACTCCAGCTCCTGAACTTCTGCTGCACAGCTGGGTGAAGCCCTGGCTTTGCAGTAAGGGGACTGCTCCTATTAGTTTCAAGATTTCAACTGGGCAATAGAAAGTCTAGCAGTCTTCCAGCCTGCAAAAGGAGTCAGAGCAGGAATGACAGCTCTCTTAAATCACTTGGCCCTAAACAGAAAGCCAACAGGTATTATGCATGAGACATGAAATGTCAGCATCAGCCACAGCTGTTGAAACAATAACTGGCAGTGTTCTCCATTAGGCAGCGTAATTACTTACAGCCCCTTTGCAGTAGAGACGTAGCTGTCCTGCCGGGGTTCGAACAATCACTGACATTCTCTTCCTGTTGCTATTGAAATAAAAATATTTGCTTTCATTAGTCAAAGTGGTAAAGACTAATTCCTGTTCTAGCCAGGAATTTTCTCAGATGTGTTTTGTGCATCTGAGATTAAATGGGATATAGCAGCAGTAACTTAAGATCCCACAACCCTTGACCACAAGGAGATATATTAAATAGCCTATTTCCAGCTTCAACCCTATGTCTCCCATTGGCAAGCTCTCCAGACTTACACCCATATGCAAGCAAGAATTTGAAAAAGAGCAAAATGGTATAACATCATCTTGAAAGAAGGGGATTCACATTTATTGTCATTATTCTGTGGCAGTTTTTCCTTATTCCTCAAGCAAAATTGCTTTGGGGACTCTAGAAATGGAATCATTAAGGCTGATTACATCTTTAGTACAGGCATAACAGATATTGAAACAACATCCACTTACTAGAGCAGTTATTTAACTTACTAACTTAAAAGAAAGCAAAAACATCATAGAAAACAATCATGGTGTAGATCAGTTCTTGTCCTCTGTCAATTCTTTATATTGGTCCAATCAGACCCACACAGTTGGAACTAAGTAGAAGGAAGTCAGACTGCCTGAGCAAGGACAGGACAGTCAAGTTCAGCATATATTTTTAAAAAAATGCAGACAGTAGAATAGTGTACACCAACATTTAACAAAGGAAGGCAGGCAAGGATAGTATTTTAAAGAATTTTTGATGTTTTACTTATCAAGCTCTCCTTCAAAAGAGCCACTGGGAAAAAACCACAGCTTCTAAGAGGCAAATGCAAACAAATTAACTCTCGTTAAGGGAGCCCTAAGAATGTGTGGTTTCATACAAATCTTTTCCTCAGCAAAAGGACCAACCTGGAAGCATCCTCCTTACTCATGATGTTTTTGCCAATGTGTACAAACACAGTGTATAGCAGACTTCCTTCTCCTCTTGAGGTTGCTTTGAGAAATGTAGTCACTGTTCAGAGCTCAAGAACCATGTGTACTAAAGTAAACTCTTGGCACATATCATCAGATAAAACAAATCCTTTCTGAGGCTTTCTGAAGAGAGGTTGGAAGGACAGTAGTTACCTGTGCTCAGAATTTCTGCAACATCCTAATGACACTGGGAAAATTCTGTGTGCTTTTCAAAAACTAATTACAGAACTCCCTCAGTGGCTAGGAGGGAAGGTGCTACACAGAGGAGAACTAAGACAGCTTTTTTTCTGCTGCATGCCAGCTGTGGCTACTCCTGCCTACAGACACCAGGGTGCTGGTCAACTTGTCACAAACCCTCCGAGAGCCTTCCAGTGCCTTTTCAGATACTTCCCACAAATAGCTTAAATAGCTACATTCTGACTGGAAAGAGGGAAATACTCAGGAATAGTCTTCAAAGCAGGTCAGGACACAAGAAAAGCTACCACCCAAATCATCCCTTCCTTTACACAGTTTTACACAGTCCTTTAGAGCACAACCAGCCAACTCAAAGACAGTAGACAACAAGAGTTCAAGATTTTAATCCCCAGCAAGAGTAGAAAATAAACAACAGGAAAAGAAAGAATACTGACTAGACCATCCAAACTGGCATAACTTTATCGACTGACAAAAAGAAAGCACCTACTTGTTTCCACTCATTTAGGGGCCTGATTCAACAAAGCTTCTTGCTACCCAAGCAATGCCCATCCTAATGAGTCTGACAAATTAGGAGTGCTTGCAATGTTTATATTTTCACAGCTGGAATGGGTCTTAAGAAGAGGCACTTCCAGGTGCAGTTTCCATCTACTCAAAAAGTAATTTGCAGAAGCACTATAAAAGTGCGATCTCAAAGTATGTTCTTGAAGTAGACAAGGGACAAATCAGGATTTCTATGAGTCACAGCAAGATGCTTCCAGGCCAGCAACTTCTCAATAAATGACTAGAGCAGCAGTGGCAGGAAAAAGTTTAATGATGGCATGCCAACAACCACCAGTTTGTAACTCATTCATAGTACATCAGAAATAAGATGAAGGGGTAGGACAAAAAATTAAGGAAGTTCTGCTTTTCTACTGTATCAGCTGTAACATTTTATTCTAAATAACATTTTTTATACGAAGAGTTTTCTTATTACACTGAATTTCACATATTAGAGGAAAACTTACCTGGAAAACTCCAGGACATGAAGAATTTCAAAGGTTTTCTCCTTCCCCAGCTACAAAAGAAAACAAAAGAAAGAGTGTACTATTGTAAGTACAATCTATATTCTTACATGTGGAAACACCCGAGCTGAGCTCAGGCGCCTTTGTCACACATCCCAGTGTAAATAATTGTGGCAACGGCTCCCTCTGCTGGCTAAAGGATGCAGAGCCCTATAATTCAACATCCCGTATTGGGGCATCCTTCATTCACTACTGCTACACCATTACAAGGAGTTAATGTCCTTTTTGATTAGGCATGCTCTGAAAGCTAAGCTGCATATTTAGTTCTCAACATCCACCAACTAAGAGACATATTACAGGCTGCAGGCATTTTGCCAAGTTAAAATAAGCATGACTTCCAGGTTTAGTATTGCAATAACTCTGACTGACCTCCCTTAGTATTTCTTTTATTTTAATTCACAAAAATATGAATTATATTTTTCGTGGCCAAAAAAAAAATTAACTGAGGAGAAATTCCTGTTATCACCAGCAACTCTCTGCTGGGGCTAAGCAGGAACAACCCAAAGCAGGAGAAAGATTTTAAAACACCTGTCATACCTGTTGTGTAACGCACAGAGGGAGCAGTAGGAGTCAAGAGTCATAGAACTCCAGTGGTATTTGTAGCATGCAGTTAAATAAAGCGCAGCAGTAAAATCTAATTGCAGTATAGACATGCCTAAGGCACATATCAATTCAGCAAGATCCACAAGATTAAAAAGCACCTCCAAACCATTTTCTACGCACTGCCACTAATGCAGGCAATCAGGAGAGACAGGAATCTCTAGGAATGACAGCTTTTATTGCTGGCTATAGATTAACAATGCCCCCAGATTGGCACTATGAGTATACAACTAGGCCAGGTAGGCCTGGCTGTTCCTGCAGAGGAGAGAAGCATTTAGATGGCTCTAGATGACACTGCTCATCCTAAGCTCTTCCCCTTCAATTAAGAAGTAGTTTGTGAATTTGTAAAAAGTTTGCGACAAGTCCTAGAAGATGTTTCAAGTGCTTAGCTTGGCAGTGTACCAAGAAATTTGAAAGGGAACATACCTGAGAGGAAAGACAAAAAATATTCATTATTCTTAATAAGCACTCTACTAACTGCACCTGTGTAAATCTGGAGCCACTTTAGCTTAGGCTGTAACTTGAGTCTGAATGCAGCCCCATGAGTCTGAGGCTGCCTGTGCCAACTGCAATCCAATAACTATGCACCCCTGTGTACACAGTTTGTCAAGCAGATACATCTTCTACTGCAGATATTACTCAGAAGAAAGAAATGAAATATTTAGGAGAACAGCAACCATTAAACATAACAGTCAGAAAACCTCCCATACACATTAATTTCCTTCTAATGTGAATGTTCCCATCTGTGCTTCCTGGACAAAGGAAATGTTTTTCAGGCACAGCTGCTTTCATTTCCCATGTAAGGCTGCAACTTCCGATCACCCATACCTCATAGAGGGGCAAAGGACTAGGCATCTTCAAATAGATTAAGACCACTTTTCTCAGTGTACATAAGCCCTTTGCATGCAGGATCCTAAAGGCCTTGGAAAAGGGCCCTCACAGGGACCAGAGAGGACACTTGTATGCTCTGCAAGAGCTTGGCAGCCTGTGCCATGCACATCCACCACTTACCGCATCAATGATAACAGAGTGGGGAGTCCGTCCTGTGAAGACATAACCAAGTTTTTTGGCTCCTTTCACTAACGCTCCTTCATCTGCCAAAACAAAACACAAAAAGCTTGAACTTAACCTGGTATGTTAAAGAGGCCTCCAAAACCCATAATTCAGTATGGCAGATTGCCACAACAGAATCCCCTTTTCTATGCGCTCCCATCCATAGGAATGTTAAGAGTAGTTCTGCACATCCCTCCACAAAAAATTCAACATTTTAGTCCTACAAAGGCCATGCAATATCAACTACACAAACCTAGTACTTAATCTGTGTAAGATATCCTGTAGCTACTGAAGCATTGAACTCTATTCTTGTGGGGGTGCCATACTTTTCCAAATGAAAAAGGTGAAATACCTGTTCTGAAAGCAAGATCAAAGCTCTGTTATTTTAAATTCCTACAGTATGTGTTTGATCCATTTTCTGCTGGGAAGGCACTAAGTTCAGGTACTATAGAAATACAGTACTGTTTTCCAGAGACTGAACTGGGCAGTGTTATTAAGAGCTCAAATAACAGAGCTGCAATCAGAGCCAACACCTGTGCCTCCTGTAGATAATTACAGAGCCTCCTTAAGGAGCAAGCATCATTAAGCACAACCATCATATAGGTGGATTTAGTGCCTAATTCAAGCAATCCTCCTGTCTCTACAGCTCCCTTAGTCTCCTCACGGTTCATCATGCTGACCAGAACTTCCTTATATGAGCTCTTCATCCTACTTTTCAGACACCCTATTAAGACATAAATAAGAAATGAGGCTGCTTCATCCCTCAATACACCACTACAGCAATTCCAGAAATATCTTCACTAACAGAGATAAATTCAATGGAGAGCAACATTCCCCAGTCTGGCCCCACCTAGCTCTGTCTGTGCTAACTGAAAGGAATAAAAAAAAATGGGTGAAGGGCAGGCCTGAATATCACCAAGATTCTGAAAGTTTTGGTTGCATTGTGTCATGTATCAGCACTTGATAGCTCCCTATCTCACTCTAAGCAGATACTAGATCAAAAAAGACAGTTTGTAGATAGGCAAATAAACTAACTGCTTATGCAGAAACAAATCATTACTTCCTATGAACTCAATATCTTTTAGTTTCCCCCCTGCAGAGACAGTACAAAGCCTCATGAGTGCAGAAGGGATCCTAAGCCCAGCCTATCTCTAAAGAAACATCATGGACTATGTGGTTTTGTAGGAAGCATTCAAAAACAGTGTGTAATGATTACAGAAGATGCCACATCTACTACTAGCATGGTGGGGGCACATTTTCTTTTCAAAATCAATGACCTTTGGAAAGACCTAGAAGTTTATGGACCTTCCTTCCACCTATCTCCACTCCTTCAACTTATTCCCTCCCCTCCTGAAAAAGAAAGCAACAACCAACCTGGAGAGGAGGCCTGGTAGATTATTGTATTTCCTTGTCTCTCAGGAACAACAGTATGACACACGGCCAGCAGTGTGAGGAACTCCTGTATATGCACGGCTGTGGGCTAGACAGGACACCAGGAGAGTGAGGTTCAGCAATTGCTCACAGACTGAGGAACCTGCTCACTAAACTGAGATATCTTTTAGGTAACACAGGAAAAAGAAAACCCAGAACATACTTTGTTCTCTATTTATATCAGTTGTTCTGAACACCAAGACAGCACAGTTCAGGGCCAGTATTGAACTAGAGCTATTGATAAAGACCTCGTTCAAGCTGCAAGGCAGCCGAGAAGGCTGAGCACTCCCTCATCCCCTACCCATAAAAGCATTACTTCTTTAGCACCCCAAGCTTCATATAGGCAAAGACATTGCCACAAGATGATGACAGTCCAGCAAGAGAAACATATCTAATGGCAACTTCCAACAGATTGACAGCAACCACACCAGAATTAAACTTGCTGCAACTGCACCCTTAGTGATGAGCATCCAGAGCAGCTGACCAGCCAGTAGAAGGCAACATCATATGTCCTTCCAAAGGAATACAGCACCCAGTCAAGCATAAAATTAATCTATGATCGCTACACATTGAGCATCAAGAGAACATGCAACATAAACCAGTGTTCCAAAGTGCTTAAACAGACTCCAGGTCGGCAACACAGCAAAGTTAGCACTTAAATCACAGGCCTCTGATCAGTCAACTGTGGCAACTGCAAACTTTAGTGATGTGAAATTAATTCCGTCATCCCATTACTCCCTCCTTTCCATCCCTGCCTCTGGCACAGGATTTATAGCCTCATAGCAGTCAGGAGGAGCACAGCAGCCATTTGCTCAGTGACTCAGACATGAACTTAGTAGTTGTACCTTTGCAGAAAGCCCTACTTGACTTTGCACACTCTCAAAGAGTTTTTGCATATAAAAATATCATCTAAGTTCCAAATCTTTCATTAGCACAGCATATGCATTGGCAATATGAAGGTTTAATTAGTAGGAAGTAAACTACTATGAAAACCATGTCAGCTGGCAAACACTGTGGCAAACAAAGTAAGCATATCTGAAAGTAATGCAATAAAAAGATTGAAAATCCAAGCTCTATATTCTTAGCCCTATATTCCAAGTACCTGAATATTTTCAAAGGAACTGTTTCACACAGGACATTCACCTTTGCATACTGAAACCTCCAAATTGTATGGTCACATGCTACTAAAATAAGAAGAGTTATTGCTTTCGACATCCTGGGGTGCAGAGGCTGTGCTCAGAAAAACAAACATATATTTACACACTACTATCTGAATAAGCCCACAGCAAATTACAGTCAAGAGGTAATTGCTGTTCCATCATTTCCAGTCAAAGTAATGAAAGTTTTATCTCCATGTCAAAAGGCACAGCCTGCCAGATTCTCATTTCAGCATCTGTTGCTGCAGACCTTTGATGTCCGTCCTACACTTTAATCACCTAGCCCCTTAACAAGCTTTCATAGTACGTGCTCTATCAGCTGGAAACAACTTGTCTCCAGTAGTGACATGGATTTTAATCCTTCCTAAGTATGTATTTATGTTTTCAAGCCAGCAACATAATTTGCTGCTGTCTTGGTACTTTCACAGCTCACAATGTATTACAGGGCAATCTTCCAATTCTGTTGCAACAGATCACCAGAAGCCCAGCTTATCACAACAGCTCCTCCACACAGCTGTCATTTGTTTCCTTTCTGTATTGTTCCAGCACTGACAATATTTGTTGCACAGACATGAATCAGGGTAGAGCATTCAAACACCTGCTTTCAACCTGTGAACAGAAAATCTGTTAATGGCTTCTGTGGCAACGTATCCCTTCCAATATGCTGAGCTGAATCCCAGCACAGGACAGAAGTCCACAGCTTAACCAATTCTGCTTTATTACTTATTTTCCTCTATCAAGTCTTTGACATCTCAGTAGTCAAATTGTTACTCATGGTCTCTGTGATGTGTTAAGGTCAGCCATATTTCTTCCCACCTCACTTTTTAGATCTCTGTCTGTCGTTGGAATAAAGTTTGCATTTTTTAATCTCTTATTCATCAGTCCACAGGTAGTTCTCATTTTAAGTGCCTTCTTCCGTCATTTTTCTTCTAGTATGCCAACAACTCTGGGTGAAAGCAATTGCTTCTTCCCTTTTTCCCCCCCTCAAAAAAAAAAAGCCATGAAAAAACTAGTGTATAAACATCTACACAAGAAATATACTCCACTGGGAGAATTATTTTGTTTGCTGCCCCTACCAGCTGAGAACCACATACACACTGCAATGGTCTCCTACTTCTGGAAGCAGACTGTGGATTGTTGTCTACAAAGCACTATCCTCGGGGAAAGCAAAGTTCAGCTATCCAGTAGGCACAGCACAATCCATTATCAAGCAAACCACTGGGCAGAAAGCAATCCCTTCATGGTTCCTATATTTAGAGGAGCAAAACACTGAGACAAGCCTCAGTCTTTTGGGGAACTGCTCTGTGAAGAGTTTCCTATCTGCACGTGCTACACATGCCTTTACCTGGACTCTTCACTCTGAAGACAATATTTTTCACAACTGTTAAGAGTCTGATAAAATTACAAGGAATTTGCATGTGAAGTTAAAGATATCTTTCATCTTTTAGTTGTAGCAGTATCAGATCAGTGCCTGCATTCACAGTATTTCCAGGTGAGCAGGACTGCTAGTTTTTTGTGCAAATGGCCTAGAAATGGACAATGGGATACTAAAGCACAGTCTAACAACCTGAACTTAGTGCTTTGCATGTAAGTAGCACATTCTGCAAAGGAAAACTGTGAAAATGCTTAAGTACTTAATTACCAAGGAGAATTACAACTCAACATCTTAAAAATATATGAACTTCCTATCATTTAGTTCACAAAAGGATCTGGAGAGCAGTGTGAGGATCCAGCCATGCTGAGCACCTCCAGAACAGTGAAGCTGGCAGGACTGGAGGAGACCAGGATACTTCGGCCAGAGACTGAGAGAAGACATCAACCATATCAAGACAGTTAAATGCAAGTGTATCTTGCCCAAAACAAATGAGATATGACCTATAATTAAAGATACTGCCTTATACTTGAACAAAAGTACTGAAGTCCCACGCACAACAAGAACAAAAGCAGGTAAGAGAAAAATGTATTTCACCAAGCTCTAACAATTTAATTGTGAGCTACAAAATTATGTGTTTGGACAGTTTTCCAGCAATCTGAACTAAAGCCTCCCATAGGCTTTCATCACCTGAGTATGTTTTTTTACCCCTACTGTATTTCAAATCCCAGTTTTTCATCCCAGTTAGCCGTGATATGTTTTTCTGGTTCTGCTTTCCTATGGAATTAAGAATCAGCTGATGACAGCTGTCATTTCAACAAAGCTTGATGGGATAATAGCCTCAGTTCCCACACACTACACAAGAATAAGCAGATGTGTTGTGAAGTCTAAACAAACACTTTCAGTGTGGTAAAGGCTCAATGTGAGCCCAACAGTTGTCTGTTCTGCCTGGCCAGCTGCTAAAGTACTCATCACACGTACTCCTTGAACCAATTCATGCATCTGCAGCTATACCATGTTTGCTGCTTCTTGGCCAAGAGATAATTTGGAGGCCACAGAAGAAAGTTGATACGCAAATTGAAATTCGCAGATGAAGTTCAGAGAGAATCCTGGGAGATACAGGAGTCTAGGATGAGAACCAAGTCTGTTAGTTCCTTCTTGACCTCCTTCTCTGCTCTCCCATCATTAGTGTAAAACATAACCCCACATCAAACAGGCTTGCATCTCTGTGCTGAGCTCATTCACAGGACATATGCATCTAGCAACCACCAAGACAAAGACCATCTAGCATATTCACCAAACATTCCTTCCAGTCTTAGGGAAAAACAGATCTTTCCTTATTAGACTAAGAGCTGGTGCTGTTTTCTCTATAGAAACAAGACAGCATCATACACTTGGTACAGCTGCACACTTCATCCAACAGAAGCCAATGCAAAGAACAAGCACAAGCAGACAAAGCTAGGTACTTTCTCCCACATTAAAATACCAGAGTAGCCAAGAGAAATCTCCACAGGTTTTCAAGTTATTTTTCCCTGGTACAATTCCTACAAGGCAATAATTCTTTAACTGCTGCTCAAAAGAGGACTTGGCTATCAGTCAGCCTTACACACCAGTGGCCCAGAAGAGCTATGAAATTTAGAGGTGATGCAGGATGCTAGAAATCTTCCTAGCAGATGGAAGACAGTCTCATGAGTACAAGTGCATAATTTTTTATTTTCCAACCTGGAAAGAAAATTACTTGGCACTGAGACAGTTCCAAACTAACATTTCAAAAAAAAAAAAAAAAAAAAAGATTAAAGTCTTCAAGAGGAAAGCAATGAACACTTAATGAGAGCTTGTAAGAGCTCACACTTACACCTTCAGCTGCAAAAGGGCAAATGTTTAGAGGGAATTAATTGCCCGAGTACAGCACCATCTAACGTCACTTGGTAGCTTATGCTAGAACACTTCCGTTTTTCACCACAATCCACTAAATTAGTAGAAATTGACAGACATCAAAAAATAGCATCTGCAGCTATCTATCAGCTGTACAAATTAAGATAATATAGATATTTACATAGAAAGAAGCAGTTTATGCACCTCAGCAACTGACCTAATGCAAAAAAGCCAGAAAGACCCTTCCTTCTACCACTATCCTGGAATTCAGCCCCTCCTCTCACCCACAGCCTGACAAATACACCCAGACATGCTCAGCAAACTGCCATCAGCAGTCCTTGCATTCTCTTGTCTTGTGCTAAATCACCACTTGCCAGAGGGTGGCACCCATTCCTCCAGTACAGTCAGGCTCTGAAAAGTATCTCTGGCCAGTAATTTCCCCACTCATTGTCTGAAGGCTGAGTTCACACAATATGCTCAGCCCAACAGCCAGCTGCACAATGACATCTATATTTGTGTGTTTAAGTGACCAGCAAAAAGGAAACTGGAAAAGCGTTCAGCATAGAAGACTGCTGAGCTGTCTAGACTAAGTGACACTTAGGGAAGCTACCAAAATCCCGTATTTGCCTGCTACAACAGCATATATTTCTTCTAGCCCCCAAAGCAGAAACTACCCAGAGAAGATCAAATAATTAGGTAGCCCTAAAATAAGAGGCCATATCAAGGCTAGGTGAGAAATTCCATCTCACAGCTCATTTGAGATACACCTCTTCTGCTGAGTCTATTAAAATATACTAAAGCATTTTTCTCCATGCATACCTAAAGCAACAGCAGCCAGAAAGAGCTCAAAGACATTTTATCTGCAGTCTACACCTAAACCATAATGAATACCTGGAGTCAGCAAGTGCCATAAGCCATAACTGTAGCCATAAATGAAAAAACAGGACACAAAGGAACAGGACATGCACAAATCTTGGTTGCAAGTCATGTCTAGTGGGAAATCTTTCCAGAGTACATGAGTACAAAAGCCACACAGGAAACCAAGACACTGTCCTGAGTGGGTCACTTTGCTGGAGGTTTAGAGCAGAGAAGCCACCTTTAGGCTCCATCACCTTGCAGAATACATAGCGCCACAGCAAGTAATTATTCCCTTACAGCATTCACACCATGGTGCAGTGCTTAAGTACTGCACAGCAGAACAGAAAGCAAAGCTTCCCTGCACACAAACTGGATATTGTAAGTATATTTTAGATGCTCATACTAAACTAAAGCAGCCCAGTTGCAGAAGCTACACTAAGGAGAGCAATCAGCTGATTGAGTTTGTGCTTGCCAATGCTCAGACCCCATATTGTGAGACAGCCTGCAGAGAAAAAGGGTCAGGCTTTTTGGCAAGTGAATTAATTGTCTGGTGTCCAGTCAGACACTTCATAGCCACATGATTTCCAAATAACTACGAATTGACATTGTAAAGAATAGGTCCCTTTAGGACTCAACAGCTAGGGTAAGACTACTAATCATTAAGGCTCATGCCAAACTTGAATTTGCAATTAATTCCCATCTCTTACATCCTTCACATAACCAGAATTCCAAACACTTGCAATACTTAAGGCTCATTCCAGAACCACCTTGTAATGCTACAGATTACAGTTAAAAATGGTATTGAAACATCAACTCCAAGTATTTTTTCTTTTCAAAATTTTAATTTCTATCATAACTTGTTACAAAGCATTATTTTCCATAACAGAACATATGAAGCTGCCTTAGAGGTAGCTAGAATCCATATCAATGCCATTGCTTCTTTAATTCAATTGTAAGACAAGTGGGCAGAAAGGCGTTGGAGGGAGCTATTTTGATTCCAATTTACCCCCTCTGTGCTTGCATGACACACTCACAGAGCAGACTTTATCACACAAATAGATTTGTTCAGCATTCAATTCCAGACAAGCCTAGAATAGGGCATTTAAGAGGCATGGTATTCAAAGAGCAGACTTACATGATCATTTTCAATGTTTTGCAGCAGTCTTGGGTCATCAAATTCACACGATTCACTGGTGGAAGGAGGTAGCTGGCTGCAGAGCAAAACAAGCATATTCAAACAAGTGGCAACATTGCCAATCTTAGTACTTCATCTAGTTTCTTGGGAAACAAATTTAAAAAGCAAAGTAAGACTCTAGTGTCCTTGAAAGCATTGTGAAAAGATCATATGAGTAATGCAGCAAATGCTGAAAATGAACATCAGTAAGAAACCTAAAATGGTTATGGTTGACAGTATTTCAGAAGATTCAAGTGTTAATGCAGCTCCTGGGACAGATGTAGCAACAGCAGTTTTTAAGCATATTTAAGATAAATGGATTTCAGGGCAGCTTGCTCATAAAATAGATCGAAGTTCAATATCCCTAAGTTCCCTTCCTAGTCAGAGCATTCTGCTTCAAGCTGACGCCTGGAGGATTTTAAGTCTGAGTACTCCAAGTAAGTACCTAGAAAAAACTTTCACAGAACTGAACAGAAAAAAAAGGTGCAAGCAAAGAAAACACAGCAATGAAAGAAACAGAAATATATTGGAAGAAAAGAGGGATCCATAGAAATTACCTCTCAGCAGAAGTAACATATCATTTTATCACCTTCCTAAAACATGATCATAAAAATGAGATGGACCAGTGGAGAAGCCCAGCTTAGCTCACCAGCAAGTGCTTTTCTAACAGCATTCAGTGTTCACCTGTTTCCTGGGTGGGAATTCACTTCTTCCCTATATTTGCCATTCAAACCCAGTCAGCCCTCCCTGGCTCTTCCCCTCCTTCCCAATAATCTCAACATGTTTCACTGATACCTTGTAACGCCACTGGTTCTTCACTAGTTTCTGTGGAATGGGACACACGCATCATCACTATTCATTAAAGTTCCGAATAAAAACAAGAAGGCTTATTTGGACATGATAGGCCTACATATCAAGCTCTCTCCCAATTTAATTACTAAAACATAGCATTTTAATAAAGAAGTCCTTTTTCTTCTCATTCTCTTCAGGCCTGAACTCAGTGATCATAAAGAGCAACATTCAGACTCTATCTAGGGGTAAGGTTCCTGCAAAGTTAGTTAATTTTAGCTTTTAACTTGACTGTCTGCAATTATAAATAAGCACTGCATTAGCATCCCAGCCACCCCAGCCACTGCCTATTCCTCACCCCCCTCACATATGAAATCTCTATGCAGAAGAGTAGATCCATCACCACCCACCAGCTCTGCATTAGGCTCCCACTGGAAGACCGTTTTACTCAAATGCATTCCTCCCTTGGGTTTCTTCCAGTCCCAAATTGGAAAGCAGTCTTTATATAGATTGTACCCACTCTGCTATACAGAACATAAACATCTTGGAATGTATTTACCTGAAGTCTTCTGATGAACGTTCTCTTTCCAACTCAGGAAAGTGACTGAGGAGTAGAAAAAGGAAAAAGAACATTTATTCCACTTTAGTAACAAAAAAAAAAATAGGTAGAAGGCGAAGATCAATGAGTCATCACACAAAAACATATGCTGGAACCATGGGTTCAGCTGTTCATACATTTGAATCAAATTTTCTGCCTTCTGAGATATCTAATTTAGCTAACATGAAATTCAAAGGTTAACTTGCACCAGGATCTTAAGACTACCCGTTTAACATGAAGCAAATATAAAGATGTAGATGACTCAAAGGGATCCTCTTGACAGAACAGAATAAAACCAGTAAGCAGGTACCACTCTTGTTCAAGGAATATTAAGCTCTATAACTACAACTACACTGTTCTAACAAAATTCTGGTTCTTCTCAAGTCACAGAAATATGACTGATAACTGCTACCCTTGCGCTGCAACTTCTTCCCTCTTGAAAGGCCAGAGCTTATTTAGCAATTCTGGTTTTGTTTAGACCATGATCAGGTAAGTTAGGAAGCAAGTTCCTTTGCTTCATGTGAAGTACTCCCCAGGTTTGACTTTCATAATTTGTGCTGCAGGACAGGAAAATCAAAACTACTAATTAAGACCACAAAATATGCTAGAATATAAACTGAAGAACAGAATGTTCTAATCCTTAATATAAAATTTTGTACCAGTAGTATGCACACATTAAGCTCCAGAGATTTTTTAAAAGTCATACCTACCCATATGTCACTCCAGCAATACTGCATTTCTTAAAGTTCATGATATTGCATGTTAGAGTACCTGTTTTATCAGAAAACAGGTATTTTACCTGGAAGGGAAAAACAAGCCTGATTTTCAACTTGTAATAAAACTCATAGTAGAAAACAGAAAGATACTCAGACATATTGCTGAAATGTCACAATATTGGCCAATGCAGGCTTATTACAGCTTGATTTGTCTACCAGATCTACAGAACAAAAATCAGGCAAAAGAATTAATGCAACTAAATAATTATCTCTAAATGTGGAAAGGCTCAAATACTAAGTATCAATTGCAAAGGCTCTAGTGTGATCACTGCAGATGTACTTGGTTGCACTACTTCGACATTTACCAAATCTTTCAATTGTACTAATCTCAAAGAGTGATTAGAAATTAAAACAAAGACTCATGGGATTGTTGAAGGCTCACTGGAATTTTACAGATTGAAGACAATCTGTGTTTCAAAGATCACCAGGAATGCTTGGGGATTTTTTTTTCCTTCACCTATAAGCACAGAATATGCTAGATTAAGTCCAACTGGTACTCTGCAGGCAAACAAAAGCTACTTTATCTCATGTCCACTCATGAGCAGTGCGAAAGTACACAACAAAGCCACAGTCAGCACTGCCCAAAGTAATAATCCCTTAATGGAAACAGTGATTTTAAGGTAGAACTTGGAGGCAACCCCCTCAAAGCAACTTCTTGGAGCATTATCAGATTCAAAATTCTCACGTTGGAAGGGCCACGACAGACCAAAATTAACTGCAAGTTAATGATACCCCAGTTGTACCTCTGCACCAGGTAAGACTTTCAACCAGGAAGGGATGGTGATAACATGAAAGAGTTAGACAACTCAAAGACCAAAATAATTTGACTATAGTTAGAAGAAGCTTTTCCTCAATAATTGCCATTCAGCTCAATACAGTGCACTACACTACTTATAAAGTGATCCCCCTGTTGTGCACTATTACTGCTACTGAATACAGCATTGGAAATGGAGCCTTTGCAAGCCAGAAGTCAAAGTGGGTACTCATACTTCTGAGCAATTTTAAGTCATTAATAATTTCACCACAAAACAAAAATATCAAGGGCATCTGTGAACATGTAATTCAATTAAAGAATAAAAAAATTCAGTCTAGTTATACAGAATCACTAGTAAGCCATTCCTGAAAATAACATATGGGCCACCAACATACATTATGCCACACATCCTTTACTTCAGGCAAAAATAACACCACCATTGGGAGGTTGATAACTTCACATCAAAGTGATTTAAACAGAAATCAAATTTCAGCATTCATAAGAAAAATGCTGATCAGATTAAGCAGGAACAATATTAACTGCCCCCCTACTGAGCAGGATATTATCATGTATTTTATATACATAAATGTTTATTATGTATTTTAAATACATAATGTTGTCTCCAGTAGTAAATTCATGCCTGTTATGAAGTTCATGTAGTTCAGTTACAGATCTATAACCTTGATGGTCAAGGAAAAAAGCAACTATTTCTCAACAGTATTACAAAGTTCCAATAGCGAAGTCACGTTCTCCAGTAAGCTTGCTTTGGGAAGCCCTTCTGTTTGAAGAAACGTTATTTGCACAACAAACAAACCTACAACAACTAGAAGTTAATATGCAGTTATCTTAATCTGAATGGAAAATAGAAATGCTTAAAGTAACACAGTATCTAAATTAGGAATACAACTGCATTTTTTTTTTTACTTGCATCTCCTGTGAAGCAATCATAGACATCAAAAACTAGTAAGTCTAGGCCTGTATCTTCTGGTCAAAACCACAGAGCATCTCTCCAACACCTCTGAGAATAACGTTTAGAGTGAACATAAGAAATAGTTTCAATTCCAAAACATAAAACTACCTATATGACATTGCATTTAATCCTGTGATAGCTCATTATTTCACTTCTAAGACTCAGACAAGAGAAAATAAAAATGTCCCATTAACCCGAGCCACAGAACAACAAAATAAAGCTGATTTTTACATCTTGTACAATCTTGTACATCTTGCTCTCATATCTTCACTCTTGAAAGCATATATTACAATTATGACACTTCAGAAAATGTTATCTTACCTGCCCAAGTTCCTCATTAAGGTTTGAGGTTCTGGCCATTGCAGGTGTATCTGTTTCAGGGTAATACATATCTATGTCCTGAAATGAGAGCAAAATTAAGACTTATGTTATGCAAATTAAACATGAAAGTCTCTGTGTTCTTCTTTTAGTCAGCTCCAACTTGGCTTGACTGTCTTAATGCTATGAGCAGGCATTCTGAATGCTTGAGACAAACATCATCCCAGGATGAATATGGGTACCTCCTTTCCAAAGTATACCTCCATCCTACAGGGACATGAGAAAAGACAATCAACTACATGTAGTTAATAAACTAATGGTGCAACAGAAAAAAACCCAAACTTAGTACAGTAGAAAGAGGTTCATGCATTAGCCATCCTAATCGTAAGTGTTCGGTTACAACAATCAGTTGCTCTAGCCAAATCTGTGAGGGACAATTTTAGTGGTTCCATGAAATAAACTTCTTCTGTTACTACAAAGAAACAGCTGCTACACAAACCAAAGAAACTTCTCTGATATGCATCTCTAGTACATTACAAGCAGCTCAAGGAACAGACATATTAAACTTTGCCTACACGTGTTTTATAGGAACCTACTATAAAACTGTAATCCTTGGACTCAAAGTCAACGGATTAATGCAAACCAACAAAAGGTATTCCTCTTGGTTTTGTCCAGCTTAAGAGCCACCACGACAGTATTTCTGGCCCACAACTTGAGAAAGACATTCTGAAGTCAAAGCTTCCCTGAACAGAGGGATCACTGTTTGGTTGCGTGAGGCAGCATCAACTTATCTTCTTACAAAAACATTACGGTCCATTCCAGAGGTGACCTTAAGGCCAGCCTAAGGATGTAAAAACAAAACAAAAAACCCCCCAAACAAACAAAAAACACCAAAAAACAAAAAACACCAAAAAACCAACAAAAAACAAACAACAAAAAACCCCACACCCTCAAACAAGTCCTAGTCTTGTCCTCTGCTGTGTCTCAGAGAAGCTGTAAGATACCAAAGAGTTTTCAAAAGATAATTACGGAACTTGAGTCAGCCAAGAGAGTGACCTCCTGCAACCAAGAGCTAAGGCTTCCTTCTCATCCTAAAAGCCTAAAAGACAAGTGATGATTTGCACAGGGGACCTTCCTGTGACTAGATCTTTTTACTTCCTGTGAAACACAGAACTGATACAGAATAAAACCTGAGTTTCCCCCTGCCTTTCCCAGAAGTTGCATCAGAAAGTAATTAGAAAATCTCACTAAGATGTTAAGTGGGTTTTTTATTTTAAATGTCAACATCCAGAACTGAGATACATTCACTCTTGCTACTTACCCAATTTATAAAAAGAGCCTGAGTGAACTTGACAACTTCCAATGTCACCAGAAGGCTGATTGGAATAAGGTTGTTGTACAAGATTATAAACGTCAGCAGATTGTATCCAAAGTTGACAGACAGCATTTCTGTGGATCAAAAGACATAGGACATTAGCAGACAAGTCTGAGTGGTATAGGGGCTATCATCTTTATGCAGTTCATCTATTAAGATTTAACAAAGCCAAAATAATAAGCTACTGTGTTGATGTCTAGTGTAAGGGCCATTTTAATATTGATTTCAATAGAAGATAGATAAAACACCCACACTATACCAGGTGACAAAGGGCAAGGTTGGTGAGGCTATATATAAAAGAACAAAACACTTTCTGAACAATTTTTGCTAGACAGATGGTGAGAAGCACAATATTCCCCACTATAACCCAATTTAGACATTTATCTGGTGTGTCAACTATCCAATTAAGAGCCCCCAATGTCACTAGTAATATAACCATCTTCCAGAGAGTGCCTGCTTGCTTCAGTGGAGTTAGGAAACAAAAAAATAAACACTGAAATTAGTCTAAAATTTGACATCATTGAGAATTTACCCTTACAAAAGAAATCAACAAGAACAAGTAGACTGTTAAACATTGCCTAGTATATGAACTAAGGCATCCTGCTTAATCAAAGAAGCTGTTATTAATGGTGACAACACTGGGCAACTTGCCCAAGTAAGTGTATCATCACAATTGGTCCTAAAGGGAAGGGGAAGCGCTTATAGACAGCCAGCAGGAAAGTAGAAGTCTCAGCAGAGACACAGGATGAAGGCTCCTGGTCACAGTGCTGCCCACAGTCTCTCTTTTACAATCAAAGTCTCCACATTTGTATGCTCTCCACTTCTCTAGAAACTTAGAGAGGCACTTCAGTCAGCACACAGAACACCCAGCACAACAGGATCAGAGTCTACAACTAAGGGTTTTCAGCATCATAATTTAATTAGAAGTCAAGGAAGCAAACTAGGAGGAGAGAGAATCCAGAGAAAATTGCTGAAGCCTAATTAAGATCAGAGTTTGGACAAAGGCACCTCAAAGCGTGAGTACACCCTAATTCCATAACTTTGATAAGTTTACAGAAAACAGAAGCATGCTTGATATTGGAACATTTTCCAACACAATTTTTACAGAGATGAGACATTTAACCAAAATTTAACATCTACCTGCTGGACCTGAAAAAGTGTCTTTCCTGTGAGTGGCAGTTACAGAAGGCATAGATATTGTGCATTCAATTTACAAAAAGGCACAGACTATAATGTCATCTTAGTCTACCGCAAGTTGCACCTGTTTTATTGCAAGTTCAAGAGTTCATACCATCCATCTTTTCCAGTACTACTTCCGTCATTGGAAGGCACAAATTTAAACTCATTCATTAAAAAACAAGGGGAGAGCAGGCAAGAAATTCTGAAAAGTGCTGACACTGCTACAAGACGACATTACAACTAACAAAACCCAGAGTCAAATATTCAAATGGGGCATTTCCATGCTAGTCCTATGTGATTTTTTTCATTACTACCACAACTACAATTCTTAAACTGCAGACAATACACTTGCCATCTGTTTTGCATCATCAGCAGACAAGCCATTTGCAGTTTGTGGTAACTGCTTTAAGATATGTACCTCAAAATGCTTTTAACACCACATTTTGTAGCTAATGTAACCTCCTCAGAAGTCTGCCGGAAAGTATTTCACTGTTCATGTCCATCTTTGATAATGAACTAATAAATTCGAGGACTAAGAAAAATCAAATAAAACCCTTCAAATAACTATGCTAAGAGATCAGTTTTCCCACAACAAAGTAAAAGAAGCTAAAGACAGAGACTGTACCCAATAAATAAGAATTGTGACATTCACCATTTCAATTTTCCCTAAAAGAGCAGATCAGCATTTCTAACTGAAAGAAGTACGGAGAAATCCTTTGCATCTGTATATAAGCATAAAGCTGAAGTCAGCATCAGACTGATACTCCCCATCCTGCAAACAGACACACACAAGGCTGCAGTACATGACCTTCCCTGAGAAAATATGTGTATGCTATCTCTACAGAGATGAAAGAAGTGAACATCAGATATCCAAGAGTAACTTTGCCCCTCTTCTGTTTCTGCCCTGCTCCTTGGGTGCTAGCCCAGTGATATTTATCTAACCTTTAGAAGCCTCACTGGGAAGCTCACTTATGTCAGCCTGTTCTCAAAAACAGAGAAAATAAAGTCATCAAAAAACTAGCAAGATGTGGGTTTTTTAGGGTTTTTATTTCTTATTTTATGCATTAATTCAGTGAAGGTAAGAGCCTGGCTGCCCCTGCAGTCTGATACATCACTGACTCAGTGCCTGCATACTCACTGTTGGAGCCAAGGTACCAGACAACTTCGCCGTGTGTTCTGTTCCATAATAAGGCACCTACAGAACTCACAAGGGCCATTACCAGGAGAATACAGAACAAAACCAGGATCTGCATGTTGGTCACTTTCTCCACATTTGATCTCTTCAGAGGTGCTTTGGTTGAATTCTGAACAGCAGCAGGAAAAAATAAAAAAAAAAGAGAAAGAACCTAGCAATGGCTTTTACAAGAGAAAAATGCAGAAGCAAACCCAGTCTTTACTTTCAGAGTCCATCAGAGCACCTGCTGTCCATCCCACTGATGGTCAGCAGCAGTGATCAACATATACATGTTGCTGGTCTCACCAGGCACTCCCTGACATTAAGGCAATACAGGACTGTTGTCTTAATCTAATTATCTCCATGATTATTACTATATCCTCAGCTGTTAAGCCTCAGTTTTAGATGTCATCCAGCTACCAGATAAATTAGGAAGAAAGTTATTTCTCCTCACATATTGAACTGCTTTCACTTCAGTGTGTGTTTGCACGTGTGCACATGCAAACTGGAGTACAATGGACCCTTCTATTTCTCAAGGCCTCCAAGCCTTAAACAACTATGAGTCAAACCATTTCATAAAATCAAGTCAATGACCATGAGAATACAGGAAATATGACCAACTTCTATCAAAACATACCCTTAATCCCCTTAAAACCTTTACCTGCATGAGTTTTGTATCATGTCCTGTATACACAACAATACCCAAGACCCACTGAGTGTTTCTCAGTTGTGCACCTCTCAGCAAGATCTGGTCTGGGCCAACAGGAACTGGGCTGCAAAGGAAAAAGTTCCATTCAATCAGAAATTCAACCTTTAAAGAAGACAGTTCTACTCCCAGCCTTGCTCCCCAGTTAATAATAAAAACAACCCCAAACAACAAGAGGAGAAGAATGTAATAGCAATATAATAAGCTTAGATTGTTCACACAACTGAAGAAAGCACTGAAACCTCTGTAAGTCTAATTCCTGCTAAAGCACAGTAGGACAAAGCTGCTCCAGTTATCCAGGACTTGTGAAATTATGTGGCAGCCATAAATAAGCTTATTCTGCACTTGACCTTGGCTAGTACATTCTCTCACATCAAGGAGAGAGAAGTATCGGACTTGCAAAGGGATCATCATTTCAAGCACACTGTATCATATACACTACTAAACAAGCATTTGAGAAAGCCTGTATCAGCCATATGACTTCCAAGTGGGATGCAAGTGATCATCTGCTATTCTTGCACTGAGCCGCCCAAGGAATACACATTTGGTGAAGGAAAACAGGTACAGCCAAATATAACATGTATGTTCCTACCAACCTGTCACAATCTGAATTTGAGTACTAAAACTACCTATTTTTCTTTCAAGAGTTGTAGAAATCAAAGACACACTGACAAAGCCTCCAGGTTCTGGGATCACTTTTCTCTACAAGCCTGACCTGGGTGCAGCCTTTGGCTCTTGTTCAAAGGGAAAGGTTTCCATTTCCTCTGTGTATCTTGTGTAACGAGAAGGCCCTAAAAACCTCAACCATTTCCTTGAGTCCTTCTCTTTAGATGTACCTTTTATCAAAATATCACCATTAATTACAAAGAAATCAATACTCCATAACAAGCAGAAGGCTCCATACAAAGGCAGAACCACGTTATCTTATACTGGCAGATGCTCTGATTAATAAATATTAATTATTACTCTCCTCCTCCCCAGCAAAAAACATGCATGTGCTCCCGGTTAGAGACTAAAAGAACAGAGGAAACATTTCCTAACTAAATGAATCCATGGCTTTGTTGTCAATACCTTTGACCATCTAAGCGCAAATTCCCAGTGAAGTCATAGAGATGCCGGTTGGGTCCTTCACATTCTATCCTCCCAGACACTTTCATCAATTCTTCCCTGGACTGGAGACTAGCAGTTTGAGACAAACCCTGCATAGAACAATTCAAAGGAGATTCTTGACAAAAACTGCTATTAGAAGACAACCCAGGAAGATGGTGCTTCCTTTTAATATCTACAAACCAAACTATAATTAAATCTGTGGAGGTTTGTTAGTCAGGGTACAGTTTTGCTTTGGTGGGGGTTTTTTTTGTTGTTGCTTTTTTTGGGGTTGGTTTTCATTATGTTTTGGAGCTTTCTTTTTTTATTTGATATTCTACCTCTTTCCTGCAAGGAAGACTCATTATGGACACATAGGAACCTGCTAACAAGACTGAAACTCTCCACACGGATATTGACATTACCTACATGATCTCTTTTTAACCAAGAGGAAAGTAACATCCACAAAACGTGAAGTTGGATGTGTGCAGGAGGAAGTAGGAGAAAAGCAGTATAAATAGACTTGGCTTTTTTCTCAAAGTATAGCTGCACTGATGTGTTATGGCTGCTAAATATGGTCATTCTTAAGTGTAGTCTCTCTTGGGCCACTGCAGCCAAAATGCTCTGATCCTGCTCAAGGTTAATGATCAGCCTGCCATGCAACTGCAACATAAAGTACTGGTGCTCTACATCTGAGCACATGCACAGCACCCCACTGCCTTTCTATTAAAAGAGGAATCCATTTTGAGTTTCTTTTGCCAGAATTTGACTGCAGCACTGCCAGCCAGAGCAAGGCTGTATTTTTGTATTTTAAGCATGTCCTGAAGCAAATAAAATGTTATAAGAGCTCAAGACCTGACTCAGTAGCCTGATCTGGAACAGTAAATCATGTTTCTACAAATGTAGTAAAGAAGAAGCAAGATAGCTTTTTAAAAACAAATTATCTGTGTTTCAAAATCCTAATCTAAATACTTTTTTGTAATGAAAGAAGCCAAAGATTCTCAACTATTTCTAAACACTATAAGCAACAGTACTTCTTTAACAAAACCAGAAAGATCCAAATAAATTCTTCTGCTTACCACAGAGATAACAAATCAACTTATACACATAAAGATCCTTTTCAGCTTCTGCCTCTGCATAACACTCATAAAATAGTACTTGTGACAGGAGAAAATGCAACTCTCATCACAAGCATAGCTGATTTTTCTTTTATGTAAAGCACTTAAATTCCACTAACAAGACCTTCAGCAAAACACATCCAAGGTCTGTTTGATTTGTTCTCTCTGGGCTTAAAATACTTGCTCCAGGTTAGTTCCTTATACTTGCACATGATGCATTACTGCTTGGGTTTGTATCTGTCCAAAAGGCAAATTACAGCCAACAAAAAAAAAAAAAAAAAAAAAAAAAAAAAAAAAAAAAAAAAAAAAAAAAGCACTTGTATTGTTGTCATCCAAGCTAGATGTTGCTTCATAACTAATATTAAATATGTAAAAGAAAACAAAAATAATAAATTCAGTCTGTTTTACCTGTCGTATTTTAAGATTCGTCTCCCCATCGAGATTAGCTGTTTCAATATAGCACATGGCTTGTGGTTCACTGTAAAGAGAGTAAGATTTTCAGTATTAAAACTCAGTACTTTTTTGTACTCTACTTTTGCACTAATATAGTCCACCACATACTGGTGGTATACAACCATGAAAGCTGAAACTACATATTTAACAGAGATGTCTTTGCACATGGTCATATAACAAACAAGTCTAAATCAAAAATCAGTAAGAATTTAACAAGTCATTTTAAACTTAGTTGGCTAAAGTGGGTTACTTTGAATTGCAATCCATTAAATTGCTTCCAATTGCAAGAGCTATGGATGAAAGAGCAAGTATTGAACAGTATAAAAAGGAGATATGTTTGGATGAAGACAGCAATGCTCCCTGCTATTGAATTCTGTCTGCAAACTGAACACACAAAATCATGTCTGCAAGGTCCCATCAATAAGGGAAGCACATCCGAAGTCACTGCCAAACAGCTTTTTTTCCAAGCATGAGAAAAAGGTTTGTTAGGATTGAGGGCTGTAACCTACATCTTTCAGATGTGTTTCTGCCCTTACCAATAGGGACACAAATCTTCTTCCTAGAACTGAACTTTCTATCAGTCAAGCTCTTATCTAGATCTAACAGAGGAGCTCTGCATAGGTGGTGTCTGTGATAAGGAAGGGTACTTCTACCAGATATTTTCCTGACATGCCACTCAAGATTCAAAACCTCTGTATGGCATCACCAAAATGATTTTTTGATCTGCCAGCTGTCCTCTCAGACTGCTAAGGAATATCAGTTTCCCATCTGGACTCAAGCAAGTGCTTCTTCTGCATATCATTTCTCATACTCTTGATAAATGGCTATTTTTTTTCCAAAGTAACCAATTGCTCTAACAGCAAATGTACTCAATCAACAGAACAGTCAGTAATAAAGGCTCCTTAGAAAAACAAGAATTAATAAGTGGACAGGTACATTTATTACACAGTAAGAAGTTACATTATTCTCTCCACTTAATTTTGCTTTGAAAAGAAAAAAATGGTTGAGTCTTTTCTTTGTCCCTTCCTACACAGGCAATTTGAATCTGAACCCAAGAAAGACACTGATTAGAGTCCAGCTTGATTCCAATTTTACTTCTGTCAAACACCTTATCTACTACAACTGAAGTGGTTAGCTCAGGAAGGAGACCTTTTGCAATACAACTCCTCTAATTTCCATTAATGAAATGGCATGAACTGTGGAAATAAGAAATGTGGATGTGTTTCCATGCAAAGTTGCGTTTGAATTAAAATATTTTTCCTTCATGTTAATTCATTCTTGATGCAAAATTTGATGTCACCTTTTTGCTGTACAGGAAAAGAGAGTCAAGATAAAAACAAGTGTTGATTTTACCTCTGACAATCACCTCAGACACAGAAAATCAACATATACAAGCAAAAGAACCCACCCCCTTCAGAACATGCAGAGCTTTCTGGTGAACTGAGGACATTTAGTATTGACATTTAAAGGAATCATAGGAATAATACCAATTATAAAGCAGAACTGACATAGAAATTGCTATTTATTTCAAGCAAAGCTTCTCCCAAACCAACATGCTTTGGGTTAAATTCTCTAACTATTATGTGGTTATCAAAGATAGCAAGTTAGTAGAATAATGTAGAACAAAAAGCTGGCCCACACAGTTAAGAAATAAGTCAGAAGGGGTTTTTAGTATAATACATTAGAGAAGTTCTTAAGTAAAATATTCTTCAATGCTGAAACAGAAAATTATTGATGTCCAAGTTCAGCCTAGCATATTAAGTTGACAACTGCTTATTTAAGTTTTGGGGCTTATTTTGAAAAATACAATACTGTATACCATGGAATGAAGGTACCTCTATCCTTCATCATGTGATAATTCAAAAAGACTGAGCTTCTGCATATAGCTTAGAAAAAAATAAAACCTCCCAGAAACAGCACAGACAAGAAGGATGTAGCAGAAAATACAGGAGCATGAAAAAAACAAGTTTCCTTAAATGCTGGATCATGTAAGAGAACTGAAACCCTGAGACCAGAGCAATCTGCAGTCACTGCTGAAAAGCACACACACAGGAGAGAATTAGGGAGGTGTTGTAAAGTCTGGCTATTAGAAGCATGTTTAAGAACAGGAGCTGTGCTGTTGTCTCTTGTCATCTAAGAAAACTGTGGTCTTGATTCGGCCTCAAGTTGTTCTACATGATCCAGAACCTAGACTAGCAGTCAAGTACCACTGACATGGTTTTAGGAACTATGAGACCTTGACAAATGAGAGGGCTGGGCAACCACCAACCATATGAAGTTTATCAAAGGCAAGTACTGCATTCTCCACCTGGGACAAGGCAACCCTGGATGTGCGTACAGACTAGAGAATGGGATGAGGGAGAGCAGTCCCATGGAAAGGGACCTGGGGGTCCTGGTCAATGGCAACTTCAACATGAGTCCGCAGTGCCCTGGCAACCAAGAGGGCCAAATGCATCCTGGGGGGCATCAGGAAGGTGGCCCATACTTGAAACTAAGCCAAGAAGGACTCAACAGGTTCCTGTTGCTACCATGCTAGAGATGGGCCATCCATGTGAAGTATCCAAGAGAAGTAGTGAACAAATGAGATCTAAAAGCTATTTTGTTTGATGCCAACAGAGTATTTCAGATTTACTATTTGAAAGAGAAATCTTCCTGGGGAAGCGCAGGAAAATGTGCTGGATACTCAGTGGAATTAACTGGAAGAAAACTTAAGCTTCCTTATTTAAGTGGAGGGATTCTCAGAAGGCCATAGAACCACTGACTGCACAAAGCCCACGTTAAGGGCCTTCAGTCTTCCAACAAACTCATGAATACAGAGTATTATGTACCTGCAATTCATAAAGTGAAGTCTTGAAAACGCCTCATTTTAGAAGAGCCCATCTACAGTGATACATGAATCAAAGCCTAGTAAAGCCATGTTTTGAATTTTTTTCATTGAAATTTGATTTTAGATGTGGAATAGAATTAGTGCTATCTGATGTCTGGTTTTATTAATAGCAAAGACAGAGATTCAAGTCCTCTGCACCTCAGTTCATCAGACACATGACTTCCACACCCATTCAGGATACCTGGTAGATATTATGATCATGTCTGCTGGAAGATGCTGCCCATTGGTGACCTTCACAATATCGCCTACTGCTACCTGTGGTGGTCAGGAGCACAGTAGCATGGAAGAGAAAAACAAACAGTTCGCTTGTCTGGAAGTTAGTTTGTTATTTTCTTTCACCCAGTCAGAAGAACAGCATCATGCACAGAACAGCTTGAGACAGTTTTTCTGAAAGTCAGAGTACTTTCCACTGCAAGTTTGGAAATATCAAAGCCTTCCCTTATAAAAAATTCTATAGAGAAAAAAGGTAGATACACTCAATCAGAAATTGTGAACTTCTGTGGGCTATATTTAATAAAAATTACTTTTTTCTATAATTCTGCCATTATGCAAATTCAAGAGTTTTCTTTAGTTGTATTTTTTTCTCCTAGTAAAAATATTTAAACTTTACCTTCATCTTTAAACTTCACCTTCATTAAATATCAAGAGTTTTCTTCTATTCCTTATCTGTATTACTTACTTACCCAATCACCATTATCATTTTCCCACAATTTTCCTTAGATGCACTGCTTGTACTAGTCACTTGGCAAATAGTATCATCTCTATGAATCCTGTCCTTCCCTGACTGAGATATGCAGAGTTCTGAATTCTGGAATACTTTGTCTCCTCCTACACAGGCCTAGACTTTCCAGCACCTTGAGTTAGTCACACATGCATGGGACTTTCATTCTCAAAAGAGTCAAGTAGCACTCTCAAAACAGTAAACCAGGTTTGCCCAATAAGCATGAGGCTGCTTAATGCCAATGCAGTACTGAGAGTCTGAAATGGGCTTAAAATACTTTCAAGATATTAATTTATAAAAATGGAAACAGATGGTATGTTTGAACAAGCAGATTCATTAGTTTTACTCAGATACCACTAAAAATAAATTCCCTACCACTTTCAGCACAAAAAAAAAGGAAAAAAGTCAGAAGTGCCTGCCTTAAAGTGATCAAGGTGGATAACACAGAACTGTTACTCCTTAACAACAAAGGATAAGATGCAGTTACAGACACAGGTCAATTCAAGAAGTGCCTAAGGGCATAAAAGCCCAGATTCCAGACTTGACCTTAAACTTTCAATTCACTGTCCTTTCTACAAAAATAGGACTTGGAACAGCATAAACAGGAACCAACATTAGCCTGGCAATCTTCAACTTCTACTATAGCTTAACACTTCAGCAGGGTTGCTTTTAGGTGTCTTGAGACTGATCTCATTCCTCAGAGGTTTCAAAAGAGTGTACTTTTTCCTCAATTACTAGATAAGAGGGCTAATTTTATCCTTTAAAAGGCACTAAGAGCCACAACTAGATCGATACTTCCTAAGGCATTTCAGCAACTTCCAGGTATCAGAAATAAAGCTCACCAGACCCTGGCCAAGAGCCTCATGGAACACAGGTCCCAAGTGCCTCAGGTAGCAGCAGGGCTTGTGTTTCTTACTTGAGCAAGCAGCTTACTAATTAGTCTCAAAGCCCAAGGACCTTTTAGCACAGGCAGCAAAGTAAGTCTCTGTTAGACTTGCAGGGGAGGTACAGCATTGCAGTGAAAATTACTCTTCTACGCAGACTAAAAACCAAATACTGTTTACAGTTTACCTATTAAGTGCACAAGGGAAAACACAACAGTCCATTAGCATTTGACTGTAACACAGTATCAGGACTTAAAAATGGGTACTCAGGTGCCTTGCTCAGGGCAATTTTGACTACTGGAACAGAAAGGATCCCTCCCACCCCCCCACCCCAAGTGACAGAGAATTCTCATATAGTATATATTAATTCTAAGCCTCCTAATTAGTTCTGGCAAGAGTAATTCTTGAACACTTGCTTTCCCTCCCACCCCCCCACCCCAAGTGACAGAGAATTTTCATATAGTATATATTTGAACACTTGCTTTCCCTCCCTCCCATCTCAGATTTTATTTACCTCTTTCCACATAATGTTCTGCCACATCCCATTTCTTAGAACTAGAAAGAAAGCTTAAAGTTAGATTACAGAACAAATAGCCATAATTCAGACAAATTTCAAAACAACTGTATCAGCAGTAGCAAACATAACAGGAACCAACACAAAAATCAGAAATGTATTTTTCAGAAGCTGGAACTTCTTTTGTTCACAGCTGTGAGCATGTGAATCCAAGAAAGAGGAAGAATCGGCCCTTCATATTTATATAATTTTTATCTCCTGCCAGACAACAGTTGGTGGCCTGATTTCTTCATGGCATCACTTCATACTAACATGCAGATGGGCAGCATTGTTTCTTGTTTGGGAATGATCTTCCTTAAAACAAAAGGCATCACTGCCCGCTGCCAATCAGCATCAGGAAGCACCTTTACTCTGTGTATGATTTACCACAGAATCTTCACTTCTTATCTTTTTCCTTGCATTTTATTCATAATGTTTTGACTCTAGCACATCCAACTTTATCACCATTACCCATGGCCCATATAAATCTGAGTCTTAATTGCCAAGCAGGCTCAAAGCCCTACTGAAAAGCAACAATCAGCTTTGCCAGAAGGAAATCCTTACTGCTGAAGTTCACATTGAAACAAGAAAAAGAAAAGGTACCAAAACAGACCTCAGTTTCTGCAGGACACCAGTTCTACAGTGCCATCTTAACCACTCATTAGTCATTTACCCTGCAGCATGCCTTTCCACCCAAGCACCTCCTCTAGGTCATTCTACACATACTTAATACTACTCCAGCCAAAACTGTAAGGACAAATATTACTGCTGAGTAATTACTGCTGAGTAACCCAGTCCAAGCAAAGCAAGTTAACCTTTATTGAAAGCAGCTGCAGCCAGTGTTCAAAGGTGTTTAAAAGGTGCACTGTGCAACAGATCAGAGTTGAAGAGGTCAGACCCCAACTTTGAATACAAACAATCTTCTCAGCTCTATGCGTTTCATACATGTGGCTCATTTGAAAATAGTACCATACTCTCAGAAAAAAATTCTGCTGAATACAGCCTTGACCATCCTACCTAGGATATGCCACTCCACAAACAGGAATGCAAGACTTGTCAGAATAGACGAAGCAGAAGAAACCTGTCTCTTGACTCTTGTTCTCAGGCCACACACACTGAAGCACTGAATCCTGACATTTAATATTGTAGTGAATGGACTCCAGTGAACTAAACTATTTAACAAAAAATGGGTGGGCAGCAACAGAAGTAGTGCCAGTGATGTGTCAAAAAACAGCTGAGCTTCCAACCAAACCAGTACAGCAGTTTAGGGGAAGAACAGTTTTGGTGCACCCCTTCCATCCCTCACATAGACACTGTTCTTGAATTGAGCTCTGCTTAGTTCAGAACTCAAAAGGCTTGAATCCAGAATCTCAAGCCAAATACCTGCAGGCTTGACTCAAAACTCCAACCTTCAGAGAGAAGTTGCACTATTCAGTATCTCCTGTGCCATGGTTTAGACAGCTCCCTATTCCACCGGAAAGTTTTGGAGACATTTCAGTAAACATTCTGATGACATTGCTGTATGCTCACACAGGAAGGTATTTTGCAGCATCAAGTGCTACAGACTTGGTCTGAAAGGCAATTTACTTCAGAAAACAATTTCACTTGCAATGCTTACTGAAATCAATTTAGTGATTACAATTAAATACCCAAGCAAATTACTGCAGCTATTTTCTATTACTGAACTATTTCTTTTTAAACTCATAATCCCACAGTCTAAAGAGAAAGCTGCCATTAGACATAAAACAGTTCAGAAATTTTGGGGTTGCAATTTCACACCTCCTACTCTGCTCAACCCAGTTTTATAGGAGTATTCCAAAGGACAGAAAAGGACATGTCTTCTCTAGAATATTTATAGTAGGGTAAAATTGATGAATTATTCGTTGTCAAAAGGTACTTGGTTAAAGTAACAAAGGACAAGTACCTAGAAAGACTGCTTCAACTTAAAAAGAGAATTTCAATATACACCTTCTATCTAGGGCTTTCCAAGACCAAAACCCAGTTCTAGATCGAGGACTTAATGCTGACACTCACATCCAGCCATGCAGGGCCATTTGAAGTGAGGCTCCTGAAGGGGAAGCATCTCCATCAGTCTTGTTCCAGAGTTTCCTAGCCCTGGGCTTGTCTAATATTTGAGTTCATCCCATGCAATATTAAATGCTCATTACTTAGTCTATTATTTGACAATGGGAGGATCAATACATCAGAACAATTATTACTGAGCTCTCTATATCTATGCAATACACTGCTAAGGAGCTTCACTTGGAATTATATGGAGTCTGGTCCCTAGATTTAATGTCATCACGACAGACATCACGTGAAGCCATCCAAGACAAAAAACACTGGCTCAGTAAACACACTCCACCTCCTAATGCAAATGTTCAGTGCTCAGCTGGGGCAGAACTTCAATTTTAGTTTGCTCCAAAGGGAATTTAATTCCTACATACCAAAGCGACTCTGCAAATCAAACTGATGTTTTCTATGGTAAATTTAAAACAGGAAGAGCACTTTGAAGATACACAACTGCTCTAAAAAACTAAAGATAAATGCAAAGCCTACATGACTGCTGCTGCAGTAAGCAACCAGCTATTGCAGGCAGTGGAGTTCAGGACACAGTCAAGCAGACAGCAGGCATCTGCTTCTCAGTGAGCTCAAATGCTCTCCACACTGAATGCATTGATTAGACACCACTCAGCTATAAGAGCAACCTAAAGGCACCCAGAGAACCTAAATTTATTTCATCTTAATCCCACTCTAAACCCAAGTTATCTTTTCACTCTGGTAATACGTGTCTCAAGAATAAGCCTCTTTAGCCTTCCTTTTAAGAAGTAGGAGGATACAGTTTTAAGTATCAGATTGAAAATTTATTTAGAGTATTCAAAAGAAAAAAATAAAATCTGAATTCAAATAATTTTTCAAGTGCTAAGTTCCACTTAGCTCCATTAGAACACCTCGTGTTCTTTAAGGTTCTCTCCACAATTACTGTGACAAACATCCCTTGAAGTGTTTGTTGGCACACATTCTCTATGTACAAATGAATTCTAACTGCCTCTGTGACCTCTGAAAGAGCCATCTTTCATATTACCTATAACAAGGCCTGTTGTGCTACAGCCACTTAAATCCCAATTGCTTATGACTAATACAGTGTTCTTGCACTCAAAATGTCTTCCCAGACTCTTGCAGAGATATAACCTAGGAGAACTGATAAAGCAATGCCTTTTGATGTGTATTAATAAACAATCTTAATGATCGACCCAAATTTTTAAGCACCAAACTCGGTGAAAAAAAACAGGCGTAATGTTTGCAGGACTATCTGAAGCATGAAGCTAGCAGGTTGCTCACTTCCCCATGTTCCTTTAAGTGTTCCTCTAGCTTTTTGACATGAGGTATTTGTGCTCGGGAGGAAGGGGCTCTTCTTGGAGCTCAAGTCCCTGTGTTCCCATTTCAGCTGCACATTTGCCCGGAGAAGCAGAAGTGGAGCTGTCCCAACACTGGAACATGGACCTGCCTTGACTATGGCACAGCACAATCACAGGGTGGCCATTGACAATCTCTTCCTATTTTCTGCACAGGTTTTCAGTTAAGAGAGGTGAAGCAAATGACAGTGATGTCTTCAGACTTACAGTGACAAGTACTGTCCATACCTTAGGGATACATGTAGGCATTCAGCGGATATCAGTGCAAAACTCTCTTTCAGTGACACTTCAGGAAAGCAAAGATAAAAAATCTCCAGACTTACTATATTTAAAGGGCAGCAGCATTTCCAAAAATTACTTTAATTTTTTCTGACAGCAGCTTTTAATGTTTCAGGGGGTTGTTGGCTTTTTTAGTTCTGGATTTTCTGGTGTTGGGTTTGCCATTAGAAAAATCAGATGGAGTTTGGTAAGGAAAAAATTGCTTGGTTTTCTTGGAGGAGCTGAGAACTATGTAACTTTGGACAACCTTGAAATTACATGAACTTAGAAATTCCAGTAATCCTCCCAATGTCTCACCCTTAAGTGTCAGGCCATCAATCATCAGTAGCAAAGTAAAATCCTAAATTTTTTGAAACCTTTAGCAAAGTAAAATCCTAAATTACTGGTAAGTACCTAGTGCACAAGATATGCATTCCTCACCATCATGACCATTAAAGCAACAGAATTGCTTAGTGGTTTTTTCAGTATTTGCATTTTAAATACTTAAAGACCATTTAGTCTTACCTACTGTTTTCTTTTTATTCACTGCACTGTCTGCCTTATGCCTTTTCTGCAAGGAAACAAAACATTTCATTACACCTCATTACACTTCACCACAAATTCAAGAACCATTAGAGATAAAAATAGGAAAAACTGCAATATGATACATTGGGTTCTTCTTACCTTTATGGGGCTTTTTTTTTTGTTTTTTTAAAAAGTCACAGATCATCTAAATTCAAATGGTTTGTAAAAGTATAAAGAGTATAATTATAAACTTCAAAGTGAAAGTCCCCATGTTGGAAGTCAGGCTCAAACCTTTATCAGTGGTAAAAAAAAAAGTCTACAAAGCTAGGGGTTTTTTTGAAGAAAAACAAAAGGAACAATAAGAACCACAATATTTAGATAAATATCCACGTGCATAAATTCTACATGCTGTTGTTTAGACTGATATCCAAATAATTTCACTCATCAGTACTTTGCAAAGCAGAAAGACCTCCTTCTGATGTAAAGTATACAAGCAAGTTAGAGCAGCTTTTCCCCAAAACAGCATTCTCTGTCCTTAAGCTGCTTGCCTCCCCCCAACCCCCATTTTCAAGACCACCTGAAAAGGCTATGTATTTGTCAGGATTCTACACTTTCTAATAAAAACATCAATAAGCAAGCTTGAAGAGGGAGAAACAAATGTCCTGATTTCTACTGTTTTCTTGTTCACCAACCATAATGAAAATACTTATTGATTTCAGTGTATTTTCAGTATTTATTACATAAATTCAAGTCAAGCACTTTGAAAGTCAAAACAACATTTTGCTGCTATTGAGCAATGACTCCAGAGACTTCAGAGATGCATGGCTTTATGACATTTTATAGCTTTTGAAATATTTGGTCCTTAGCACATTCCCCATCGTACTCATCCCCATTCTCATCAATCATACTCACATAGTCTTCTATGATTTCTTTGATGCCAGCAACTGTTAAAATAAATAGCAATGGCACCAAGGTGGTATATCTTCCTGTTGGAGAGACATCTGGAATTTGCTGTGAACAGATGGAAAAGAGACACATTTTATATTCGTATTTAAAATTAATTTCTGGTACATTTAGAATCTTATGCAAAGCTCTCAGAAGACAGTACACAAAGTTTCCTGATTTACTGTGTGATTTGTGCCTCACAGATATCCCATTTCAGTGGGCAAAGTAGCCTACAGACTCAGCAGGTTTGAAGAAACAAATTTAGAAGATACTGCTTTTGTACATGCCTTTTATTCTATTACTCTTCTCTTTACAAGACAATTATACTGCTTCACATGGAAGCAGAAGCAGAACTAAGCAGAAGTCTCACAAGAAAGTCATACATTCTTTTCTCACAATGGTCAATAGCTCCATGTTTTATGACACCACTTATTTTCACTTATTAAGAATAAAAGAGGTTCAACTTTACAAACTATATGGAAAGAAGACAGAAAGAATTGGCTGTCTTCCAATTTCAATTAGCAACTACATACCCCATTGAAGTTTAAGAATTCCTTTGCAGTTGAGCATAACAGAAACAACTTTTACTACATTACCATTTCATTTTATAAACAAGGGAAAGCAATAAAGCAATACCTGCAGTAAGGCAATGAAGAGGAAGAATGCATTTGCAGCTTTTCTTATCTGCTCATACAGGAATCGAGGTAGAAATGTCACCACGCTGTACTTGGCTGTGCTGCAGGGTAGAAGATTTTCATCTTAGTACATCATCAGAATATCAGGTGGGGATCATGACCAAAAAGTCTAAAAGCCAGTGTTAGAAAGCAGTTCAAAGATAACAAAGTAAAGACATATTTAGAATATGGAGGAAGTAGTTGCTTTGGTTATGATAAGGAGCTGTACCAAACAAAAGAGGTATCACACAGACCCAGAAGGCTGTCAGGCCCACTTCTATCACTGGTACCTTTGTTATTGGATGACTATCAGACAATTTACCACCATCCAAACTTCAGCACTGTGAACAGGCAAGCTTTCATTTCAGTTCCAAGTGCTTGATCAGGAACTTACCTCTCAATTTAAATGTTGGGGGAGGCAGAGTTGAATGAAAGAAATTAGAAATTTTGCAACACATTTTTAAAATGCCTCATTTCCTACTTCAGAATGACTTACACTCAGCTATAAATAATCCTCCAGAACAATATACACTTTTTCAGATTAATGGTTCTTGGCTTTTTTCCTATTATGAATATATAAATACTGTTAACTAACACATATATGTAACTGAATTATAACTACTATTTCTTCTGCCTTAAAACAAAAACATACTGCACTAACCAGCCTTATTCACTTGCGTAATTTCTTGTCATTTTCACATCAAATCCATAATGGGCATGAGTACAACTTCAGGGAAAAAGAGTCAAAGTTGACACAATAATTTAACCATTAGCATAGAACCTTCACCTTCTGAACTACTGGCCATCAGTGTGAGTTGGAGTTTTAACAAGTGAACACCTGCAGCTCAGTATGCCTTGCCAAGGCCCAACAAGCAAAACCAGAAATTTTGAGGCATCATTTTGAGTGTTGTGATTTTGGTTTCATTTTGAGGTTTTTTTTTTTGTTTGTGCTTTGTTCCAGTTTGGGTTGATTTGTTTGTTTTTTGGGGTTTTTTTTTGGGTTTGTTTTTTTTTTGTTTTTTTTGGGGTTTTTTTTTTTGGTTTTTTTTTGTTTTTGGTTTTTTTTTTTTTAAATGAGACTTCTTATATTTCCAAGGAACTGGGAACACTAAGATACTTGGCTCTCAAGAAAAAAAGAAAAACTGTTTCCCAGTTCCTGTTTTACTGACATTTCCTAGCAGTGCCAAGACCACCTCTCTATTAAGTCTATTTTCCAGATTATTCCTTTAACCACCTTCTTTTCCTTCTTATCTGCCCCATCCCCAACTCCAAGCCATCTAACCAGACACTGCTGTATCTTTCAAAATCAAACAGTAACTAGATGTAACAAGGCACAGCTTGTTTTAAAAGGCTCTATTTTGAACACTAAAGAAAAATTAATGGAGTAATTAAAAAAAGACCAATTAAAAAAACAATTAAGATGCATCTTATCTTAGGAACTTGCCTTGTTTCCTCTTCAAGCAACTACAAAATCCCTTCCCATTGCTACTACTGCTCACCAGAATCAAGTATTTAAATACTCAACATAATATTTTACAGAAATTTCAAATGGTTGTACTTAATCATGGTTCATATCTACTAAGCCAAATGAGTGAAATCATACATCCAGGTTTAAAGCAAGTCCAGTCTTTATACAAATAAAGCTACTGCCTTCAAATGCTGTTAAATCCTTCCAGCTCTAAGTATTTTTTTTTGTTTTAAGCTACATTTGCTTGGTCTCATGTGTAATAACCTTCCTTTAATACAGAACATAATTAAACACAAATCTCAGAATTACGTTGTGACTTGAAAATATGGGTTAATCAAGTTTACAGTTCACACCCAGAAGCAATATCTCCAAGCAGCACTAATTACACATCAAGCAATGGCAGATTTTATATGAGACTAGTATTCCTCTAGGTATCACATTGCTGTGATTGTAAGAACACAAGAATTTGCAACCAAGCTGAAATATTTATTAACACCATTCTACCACCTACCAACTTCACAGCTAGCTGGCTCAAACATGATTCTCACTCTAACAATTACGTTAATGCCAACACAATAAGGGTCTTTTGAAAGAGGTTTGTACATACTAAGTCACTCCACGTATTCTGTTGCTTAAGTAACTTGACAGATGCCCACAGAAAATGGGTACAGCTCTAATTAGAGGCAGGCACAGTCAGCTGTTACCATGCAGGTCAGAACAGCAACCACAAGTATGAATAAAGAGCAGATACATATCATTATTCCAAATGAAAACTTCTCACAGAAACCTAACCAGCAGTCTAAGCTGCGCAAGAGCATGCAATTGACTTAGCTCTGAAGAATAGCTCTTGAAATCATAAATACAATGCTTATTTTTAAATAACAAAAAAACTCTTGCACTCCTTCACAACAGACAGGTGTGTTACAACTTCAGGATAACCAAAGCTCAGGAAAGTTAGAATCTATAGATGAACAGGTAGAAACTTAGTCAGCTCACTCATAGCACAGTTTTGGTCACAGAAAATAAAAAACTGGCAGATTAGCTCTCTCACCAGCGCCAATCAGAGCCAAGTTAACTCAGAGAATACGAGGCCTCCAGCTCACAGAACAGGTTGAGGCAGGTAGAGGAGGGAAGCACAAGAGGGAAAACAAACAACAAACTGGTTTCTCCTAAAGCAGCAGCTGTTACCTATGCAAATCTCACTTAACTACACAAGTTCAAATGTTGAACAGGTGTGCAAACATTAGAAGAGCTGTCTCCTCCACACCTGCAAGTTAATTCACATAAGTCATGTTTCAAGTTACACCACTGTGCAAGACAGGAGGAACAATACCAAACCCTGCTAAACAAGTGAATTTGGATACACCTGACTACAGCTGGCTCTGGCCCCACTGTTCCTAGGGCAGTGCAGAGATTTTTTTGAAAGCAATCAATCTGTAATTTGCAAAACGTTAGTGTCATTCACATACTTTAACTCATTACCATATTACTCAAGTACCAAGGATTAACCAGCAATTTTTGTAACAGTCAACTGAAAAGTAGCAAACAGTGCACTGAGGAACTCAGTAGCAGTTCTTCAGTACAGCTGTCTATTTATTCATTGGTAACTTTCGCACAACCACTCCCATTGTTGCCTTTCTCCCTTTTTCCTAAAAACATTTTATAAAGTCAGGTTTTACTTTAATGGTTGAAGAGGCAAACGCTGTCGGTAATATAGGCAAAGCAGTTACTTCCTTGAGACACGTGTGTGTGCTGGCAATACACAGCTAAACACAGTCTGCACTTTTCCAGTCAGCCATCTAAAGCACTTCCACCCCTTCCTTTAGAATGGCAACTCTGAGATGAACTTCACCTTGAGGATAATGATTAAGAAACCAGGACCTCCTTGAGATACGTGGGGTCCCATTTCCAGGGCTCACAAGTACAACAAACTGCTTTCCTAGACAGCATTCACACAAACTTGCTCATGCCATGGATCACATACTTGAAGTACACTCCAAGAGCTGAAGAATGAGGATCACTTGATGTCGGTGCTTTTAACACACATCAATTTGCAGGAACAATTACGAAGAAAGCCAGGCACAGACACCTGAACCACAGCAAAAGGATTGGGTAATTAAAGTGAATGTTAGAGACTTGAACCCTTCTCTCACCAAACAGGCTTTGAGTCCATCAACACATACAAAAGGTCAGACGCCCACTAAAAGAGAAGGAAAAGAAAAACCCCAGAAAACCCAAGCTGATGTGCTTGACTGAAGAGCTCAAATACTGTTTTTAGTGGAATGGTGTTTGCATGCTAAGGTCCTGCCAGACACATGACACCTAATAGCAAGACAAACATCAGCATCTGAGGTTCTGCTAAAGCTCTCACGTGCAGAGGTAGCACGACAAGCCACCTCCAGGCAGTCACCATTGCTTCAGGAGGCACAGCAGCAAGCTTTACGTATTTCAAGAGACATTAACAAAAAAACAACGTTCAGCTATTACACTGAGTACAGAGAACACACATTTATAGGTACATCTCATCAACAAGCTGCTCCCATGCAGAACACTGAGGAGGTTGTTCTAAACCCAAGTGTCACAAACAAGGTTTTCAGCAGTTGCATGCATATGACAGTGAAAGGTCATCTACCTCCTTGCACATGGGGAAGATGTACTTTCTCGAAACTTGCTAAAGAGACAAAAATCAACTGTTTACAAGTTCCCAAAAAATACATCATGAGGGCTCATGAGAAGCAATTACTCATATGCCTATGAAATGATTATAGGTTGACTGAAAATTAGGTCCTAGATACCCTGGTTTTATAACGACAGGGCACCTGAACAAATGCAGCTCCCAATTCAATTGAAGGGCCTTGCCCTATCAGATGAATCCTTGAGACTACAGGTCTTACAGAGGAAGATTCCAGCCAGAAAGGATTTCACTTCCCTGTTTGTGGCTGTACACTTCTGTCAGCCAAGAAAAGCGTATGTGGTGCTTAAATACCCAAGACAGTCCCTGAGCTCAGGGCAGAACAGAGGAGCATGAAAGGAGTAGGACTTGCTCTTGCATAGCAAAAAGTGCAACAACTTGAATACTGCAAGACATTATTGCTTAAAGCTTGCCAAAGCAAGACAAAAAAAAAAAAAAAATCAAGAATTACCACATTGTATCTGTCACTCAGCTCGAGAACAACCACTGACCACAGTCCAAGTGCCTATTTTGTTTCCATCTTTCCCTGCACTCTGCTACTGTTTCTCCATAATACCAAAGGTATTTTAATACACAGATTCATATTTTGTTAAAAGAGGAAATGGGTTTAAGGGACATTGTTGTGCTTAGCTACTGAAACATCAAACCCTGAAAGATTTCCCAAAAAAGCCGCAGTGAAACTGTAGGAGACGAATCTATTGTCTGAAATTATCCGCACAGACAATGAAACTGATTGAGAGTATTCAAATGTATTAGAATTAATCAATTTTAACTTTGACTGAAAACAATTCTAGCAGATTCCAGCTAAAGAAAACTTATCAGTGGGATAGCATTTCTCTCAAGCACCTCACCAGATAAATAAGAAATAAAAATTCTTTATTTCTTCATTTATAGTATGGGCT